TCAATCTAAATATATAACTGATTTCTTTTTGTTTAATTAATAAAATATTTTAGGGTTCACGATTTTATGAATAAAGATTTAAGTAAAATAGAAAAAAAATGTTCTCTGTAAATGATGCAAAAGCTTGCATGAGACCTAATAATATATATATACAGGGTGTTTGGTAATACATGTATAAACCCGAAACATGGCCATACAACCTAGCACAAAGAACACAATTAATATGTCAAAAAACAATTTCACGTAAATTGAGATTTTCATACAAATATTTGAACAATTTGTTTTTAATTAATATGCTACAACCCTGAAAGCTTACACGTGCCGTCCCGGCGTATTCGCTCTCTCTCTCTCTCATTACCTCTCACTTTCTCTCGTTTCCTAGAACAACAGCTGTTTTTAGGGTTGTCAGCGTACAGTTTTACTTCGAAGAAAAAAGCTAAATATCTAGGACATGTGCAGGGTTTCAGACTTAGTGATCATTAGTCTGGGTTCTATTCATCATACCGTATGTGCCATATTCGGGATTATACAGGTATTACCAAACACGCTGTATAATACACTACCCTTCTTAATATGTCTCTTATAGTTAAAAACCATGAAACAAAACAATGATGACAAACAGGCAGGTATTATGTACTTTTTTATGAGTAAACCGCAAGGTGGCTGCCACGCCCGTTATTACTATGTATATTATTCTACGGCATCGACCTTGGTCATAGTTGAATTATGTCATTTAATGTTACAATAACATACTCTAGTATGCTATACAACATCACAAAGTAATTTATAACGTCGAGATTATCTCAATCGCAGCTCTGTCAGAGGCTCTACCTATGTGATAGAGATTTGTGATTCCTCTTTTATCGATTGGATATTTAACTTATGTCAAATTAAACAGTATAATCTAAGGAATATAAACATTATTGATTGATTTTAAGAAAAAAAAAATATCATCAAATTGCTATCGATTTGTTTCTCGTTGCCAACTATTGTTCAAATACAAGAGATTATTTTTTAAAAACAACAACTTGACTGCCATTTTGCTGGTTCTAAATCCATATGTACAGTCAACATCAGGTTATACAAATCTGACTATTTTTTCCTCTTAATTTTAAACCCAAATGTTACGTCAGTAGAGTTTAAAATCAAGTGGAGAAACTTGACATATTATGGTAATCTGACGTGCAGCCGTTTACACATGCCCAGTTCATTTTACAACTTAACAGCTTTTTTTAATATCTGTCGTAATACAAAGCCTTCTTTAGCTTACAGAAATAGGTAGCTGTTTGAGGAAAAAAATATCAATTCTTGCAATAGGTATATGATTATTACCTTTAAGAATAAATAATAAAAAAAGGGCCCTATTAATATTATTGGTAAATACCAAAATATTGGATGTTCATTACGTAGACGGCTTGACGGCCTTTTGATGAAGTTTCGCAAGCAATACCTCGATTTAATTTGAATTATCGAATTAGATATTAGAGTTTTTTTTTTACTTTTTCCTGCTAAAAGCTTGCCTAGATACCTATCACGATTTTGTAGTCTACACAAACAAGACGTGAGCAGAATCCACACAAAAATTCGGCAAATCTTAACGTATGAGTCATGATGGCACTTTAATGGCGTTTCAATTTATTGCATTTTCTTACTGCGTTATCCAGCTGCCGCCAAATATATAAGTCGATACAATGGCCTCTTGATGAATATTATATCAACTGTAAAATATTTTTTTTTTGATATAACAATAACTATGGCAAAAATATCTTTGACACGGCATAATTACGTTAACACATGAAACCTAGGAAAACAGGAAGATCTTCCAGCAAATCGACGCCCTGTTATAAAGCAACTTAGGGCAATCGACGCGTGCGCAGTTAGATGACAATGGCATGGGATTGCAGCTGTTCACTATGCATTGAATTTTTTTATGCAGTCACAAATAAGTGTGAGAAAAGACTAGGGACGTTGGCAGATACATATGATTGAGAAACATTTTTTTATGCGGTAAATTTTACATGTACGCAATTTTACTTATCTTTGCATGGATACCTATGTTGTTAAATTATTTAAAGTTATTAATCATTGAACTATTTTTGTGGTTGCTTCACTTAAAATGCAGTCTGTGTTTACATAAAATTGTTACTTATACTTAACTTATAATTAAAGTTTAATATGAATGTAACTTCATAAAAAATAAAATAATACACATCAGTTGCATTGATTGTAATTATTATTTTTTGTTTATGAATATTCAGAGTTAATGTTACACAATATATGGGTGTATAAGTCATAGATTTAGTCATAGATAGATTGATTTATATTGATTGATGGTATGATATTCTATACTACTACACATAACCAATACCATTAATAAATAAGGTTTATCAATGATTATTGATAAAATTGCAATTTTAGTACTAGTCCAAATTCATATTTTACAGCGAATAAGCAAACCTACTACTTTCTAGGAGTCAATATATTCCTATAGAACCTCATACTAGGTTAAGTGTAGTCTCAGCGGAAATTTACTCCAACTCTAAAAACATAGTTGTTACAAAGAAAATTACATTGTTCTTATCCGGTATCAACATCAGCATCAGCCTTATCAGCCTTCCAGCTAGAATTCCTCACATTTCATTATTACCCCCACAAACCATTAAGAAAACTTTTTACCTTATCCAACAGGGGGGGGATTTGTTCCATCATATATCACCTTCTTATTTTTAATAATTAATCAATAAAATAAATCACTTTAAAATCATTATTGTTATGGAATACTGTACTATAGATGTTGATGGTGATTATGTAGGTATTAGGTGCATATTGAATCTCATTAAAAGTCAACAAAATGAATTAGGTCACTAGACTGGGTCAATTAAAATGGCCTTATTAATGTTAGCTGAGAATAATGCTAACTTCTAGTGACCTAATTCACTTTCTGGTATTTGTCATCATCCCAAAATATATGATACATAAATAAAAATTGGAGGAACTGAAAATAAAATGTAAAAAATTTTAATATAAAGAAAAATAGAGCGTAACCAAATATATTTTAATTTTTATCTGATAGGTTTGTTGATTCACTAAGTTTATTTACTTTATATTGCTGGAGTATAGTTTTATATCTTAAATCTGCAATTAGGAAGCATCTCTATCATAAGATATAAAAAATTATCAGTAAATAAAACACACCTGCATCTTCGATATAACTGATAATATAATGAATGATAAATCATTCAACATGAAAATCTTATTGCATTCAAGAGTTATTAAGCATACGTCACCTACAAATCCCTTTACATAACATCCCTTGGATTTCGCACAATATTAAAAATAAGAATAGAAAAATCTTAAGAAAAATAACACTGGTCAACATGACTTTTTGCCGTTAATTAATTTATGTATTTTCGGTATCTCTCATATATAAGTATTTAAAAAAAAATAATAAAAACAATCTATTACATCGAAATATCTAAATAAACGATTTACTTTGAATTCGAAAATTTTTTACGGTCTATTGAAAATAAGTATTGTGGTTGGCCATTCTAACAAAAACAAAACTGATATTTGTAAGAACACGATATACCCTCACATTTGTGCACATTTAGTGTATGTTATTCTTAATTTGTTATCGCGTTATATCACTATTCAACACTAGACGAAGTTCGATTTCCAGTGTTTTTTCAACTGTTTATTGAAATTGTGACTAGTTTTTTTCTCTTTTTTTTTTTTTGATAAGTTTCAGTTTAAAAGGAAAAGTATAAGTACAATATGAATCGAAAGTGCTTAAATTCACCGGACCTCTTTTGTTTTATTTGTGGAGAGTTTACTTCAAGTTCTAATCGAAAACGACCTACACCGTTAATTAATAACATTTACAATTTGTATTTTGGTTTCAACATTCCTGAAACTATTAAAAAAAGGTGGGCTCCGAGTTATTTTTGTTTAAGATGTGTTCGTTATTTAAGAGGATGGTTTAAAGGTACCCACCTAACAATGCCTTTTTCTAAACCTACACTTTGGTGAGAACAAAAAGATCATATTACTGATTGTTATTTCTGTTTAACGAAACTTAAAGGTTATTCCTATAAAACGAGAGATAAAATTGTATACCCTGATGTGGAATCAGTAACTAAACCGCTTCCTCATACCGAAAATTAAACAAAAAGGAAAAAAATGCGTGGCTTTCTTTTGTTGAAGTGACAAAGAATTTTTTGGGAAACACAAAGTCTGCGAACTATAAGGAGATAGTTTCTAAGCTTCTACAAGACTATAAAGATTTAGGATGTAATATGTCTTTGAAGATACATTTCCTTCATTCCCATCTAGATTTTTTCCCCGAAAACTTGGGTGCAGTAAGCGATGAGCACGGGGAAAGATTCCATCAAGATATCATGGCGATGGAAAGAAGATACCAAGGAAAGTGGTCGCCGAGAATGCTTGCAGATTTTTGTTGGACACTAAAACGAGATCATCCGTCTTATAGTTACAAGAGGCAAGCTAAAAGAACAAAAACATCCTCAGAATAAATTCTTTTGAAACAATATTTACGAACGTCAGTAATTTTTGGTTACTTTTTAATAAATGTATTTTATGAAAAAAATGGGTGTTTAAATTTTTTTTTACGAACATATTTATAGTAGTTGCGTGCCAAGGTATGAAAAAAAACCACTTCTGAGCAACGGCAAAAAAAAAAAATCATTTTGTTGACCAGTGTAATCTGCAGTAGTTCAAACACCGCATACGCCTAAAATAGGTCATATCCCTGTTTAGATTCTACATAAATAAAGTAGTATCCCAGATCACTACAGATGCGCGAAATTACCTCAAATCGTTATGCGGTATGTAAAAGAAAGAATTGATAAAACGAAAAATTTCTCATTCCAACTTATAGATGATAATACTATACAATATTTTCCTCTTTTCTAGATAGACTTAGAGAGATATATCTGAATAATAATGACGAGAAGCTTAAAATAATGCAGCTCTATCGGTACCTGTTTACTTTTGTTGTCGATCCCGTTCGCCTTTCCATCCTGTACATTCCCGTTGTTTTCCTCACTTTTTTCACTTTTAACACCTTCCAACGCCATATTCAAACGATTATTTTATTCACTGTCATACGAGAAACGTTTTAATAAATCCAGTTTCAATGGACATGAAATGTTTTCCCACAAATTCGATTCGAATGAGCACTCCCATAGACAAACAACGATCCGTCACAAACACGAAAGCGACGCGAAACACGTCAAAATAGTCGACGCCTCAAGCGCGGAATGAGAAGGAAGGAAGGAGTAGGTATGTTAAAAAATGAACGAAACGGGATTCCGGCTGGAGAATGAAACTGAGCGAGAAAGCCAATATTTTCAGATTTGGAACCCCGGGAACATAACGGGAATGCGACTGGATAAGGTAACGGTCGTTATTTTTTACTATTAATGAATAATTATTAAAACCATAAACACTTAAAAATTTATTAACTGTATAGGTAAATATTTTTGAATTGCGCTTTTTATGCTAAAATATTTTACTATAAAGAAAAAATTAATAATATATTATTATAAGTATACCTACTTTGTAATATGTTAGACAAACTGAATGATTTTCTTTTTTATACTAAAATGAGAAAGACAATGTAAATAACTACCTATTCCAAATCATGAGAAATGTTTCCTTTTTAGATCAATCGTCAACTAATAAATAAACTATATTAACTAAATGTGCAATTCCGTAACCAGCTAAATCTTGTATTTATTTACATTTATTATCACCGAGGTTAGTTTCATATTCATATAGTCGTAAAGGAAGGATAATGCTGTCAATATAGAAAATTTACTTTGAGCTAATTAATTTCTAATATATTTATTCTACACTTTTTTATATATTACATTTTATCTTAATAAAAAAGAACCTCTACTACAAATTACGTAACTTCTATTTTTTCTCTAGCACACACAATGCAGTGCTTAAATTGTCTATGGTAAATTATCATGCTTTTCTTTTCTTAGGGTGCTTTTTAGTCGGCATGACAGCTTGGCGGCACACTCCGCACAGTAGAGCAGTTGCTCTAACAAGATAGTGAGTATGTTCATGCAAAGGTGGCGCTGTATTTAGTTAATACGGGTCTTGGTACAATAAAAAAATAAACTAAATACTCTACACATTTTAATAAAAATTAATTACCATTATTATAAGTAGATACAATACCTTCAATAGGTATACAAAATTTCACGAGATAACTTTACAAAATTACAATGTCCTAATTTGAGTTTCCACTATGGCGATATAGTAGAGTTATGGAATGCATTTAAGAGATATAGTATAGTTATTGTGGATATACATAAGCGCTAACTGAGTCCTAAAGCGTTGTAAAAGAAGTATTTAAGCGTCTAGTGACTCTTCAAGCATTATAATAGAGCTACAGGCTACCATCAGACCTTTTAGTGCTACAAAGGAAGCAAATGTATGAATATTAACTGCGTAAGGTTTATAGTGGATCCAAGATGTATTTTACTAACTCTTTAAGCGGTTATAGGGTGGCAATAAGGTAAATCGTAATACCTTGAGATGCAGTACAGATCTACAATAGAAATTTTAACGTTTAAAGACATAGTTTTTTACTTTTTTGCCTAGACTGCTTAACGTTACGTTTTGCCTTAACGTTAAATTGTAACTACACCGAATCTCCACACTAATGGTCTTTACGAAAAAAATGGAGGGGTTAAATGGTGAAATCTTAATTTTTTTATGGAAAACTGAAGTGGAATTTTCATTGCGAAAGTAACTACATAAACTGTGAATGTGGCTATATATTATAAGCAAATAATTCTTAGTTGTGTATTTATGTAAAAGAAAATGTTTAACTACAAGTAAAGCAAAACATTTTTTTAATAAAAATGTTTAATAACTTTGTCTATTGATTTTAAAATGCCATGAACCTGTTATCAAACCGCTAGAAAGAGAAATAACTTCATTGTCATAGGTTTTTCAACTTTTAAAGCACTTATTAGTCGAGCTAGGTTGCGACGCCATGTTATCGATTTACATAAATATGAAATGCAACTTAAGGTAATATAGAAACTATAGTTGACATTATGGGATCTATTAATAGGGTGAAATACCTCTAATATACATCCCTAAGTTATACACAGGAGTTATGTATCCCATTAGGAGTTTGGTTTTATAAAAATGTTAACAAACACACTTATAGAGCTAGTAGCGTTAATTGTTCCCTTTGCGCAACTATCAGCGCTATAAATGAGTTTATAATAGCTGGCCTAGAACTTGAGGAAAATAGTAAATGATAATTTCTTATATAGATCTTATAGTGGTAAGATTCGCTCAAAGCTATAACACAGAAGCTTTGGTCTGTACTGTAGGGATAACAATCGCTACTGTACGCCTTTAGTCTCGATACCATTGCTCTTATAGACTTGTTGTGTCACTATAAGCATAACATTTTATTACTTACTCTCTTTTGTCACCACAACCTATAATTGCAGCTACTAATCAACTTTTACAACACTTTAGGTTCTAAAGTAAGCTCTATTTGCAGCTGTAATTTTAGTTGGGTAGCTGAGTAGGTATTCCTGAGGTCTTGGGCTCGAGTTCCGACGTCGATGTTGAATTGACTCGAGTCTCGGTGTTGTGGTATCCTCGTACGAGGGTTTTAGTTTGAATCTGAGCTACTAAACTTTAGCTACTAATCTTGCAATCTGAGCAAAGTATGTGATCTCTAATATTTATTATGTACCCTTACAATTTACTACCTAGCTTTCCACCATCGACTTCGCCTACGTGGTCCTATATTTTACATAATAAACTTTCCTTTTGAATCACTGTATATGTATGGATTGTGGAAAACCGCATTAAAATCCGTTGTATTATACTATGTATTACTTTCTGTAAATATATAACACTAACAAATTAAAATTCAATATACAAATTCATTAGTAACCCGTCAGTTATTTATTTTATCAACACATAACCTTTTTCCCTATCAGTTAGAATATAGGTAGGACTGTGGACGGATCGCCTCAGTAATGCACAGAGCACTTGATTATCAACAACTAACTCATCATAAAATATGTCGGACATGATAATTTGTGACTAAACAAAAATTATATTTAACAACAGTGCGTTTTAAAAGTTCTTAGTCTTGCTTTCTAATTATTAATCAGTGTACTTATGTAATGTTTTGAATTACTACAATTTTGTTTTGTTTTTTTTTATCGAATTTATATTGACAAACAAAGGAAATGTTGAAATGTAAGTATTTTATCTAATAACGAATCTATAATAACATTATCGATAAAAGTTTGACAACTCTACAATTTTAGGATGTTGTTATTGTCGATTCTGTTGACATTATCTAAATTATACACAACAAATATCTAACTTTAAATTGGAATTGTTTTTAATACATTAGTCATAAATGCATTCAAAGAAATATAAATTAAACTTCTATGAACAAAATTTTTGTAGGTTTACTTTTGTTTCCTTCGTTATTTGATAACAATTGAAAAAGCAATTTGGCAGTACCAAACCCAAAATTAGTATAATTTATTAAGCAACAGAATCGCTGTCATAATTTTGGTAATGCACTTAAAATTACGAGAAATTTTTGTTCACGACATATATTTCTATGTAGAATATTGCATAGTGAAAGTTCATAACATTTTTCAAAACAAATTTCAGCAAAGATGGTTTTCAATTCGATTGACTTATTTTTAATAGATTAAAAGCTGTGGTAGAAGTCCAAAGGTCATGTCATTCATGTTAGATAAAATAGTTATAGAAAAAAATATAAAATCGATATGTAATTGATACGTACAATCGATTTAGAGTCAATTTTCTTATGTTTTTTTACAGTAATAGTTTTATATAATATTTATTACTTATTATAAACTCGATAAATTAAATCAAAATATCAAAAATTTCGATTAACTTTTTCTATAGAGCAAAAAAATATAGTTTTTAGATTAAATATAATAAAACCTACTCTATGAATGAAACTCTACATTACCAAATTTACTTTTATACAATTTGTGTTTTAGTAGTCTTATTAGAAACAGCGTTATAACTACCACCTATTAACGATCACTTGGTAAACGTCATGAACTGTTAACTAAATAAAAATATCTTCAAACAATATTATCTTTTCACAAATAATGAGGGGACCATAAATTACGTTTGTGCTACTAAATTGTCAAGATAATAATTTACATACTTAAAGTTTTAATGCAGTGTAAACACTTTTTATTTTTAGTTAGGTTACGCCTTATCATAACAGACGTGTTAAATTATGTAAAAGATACCTACTTAATAATTTACTGTATATTATGAACATTCAGTTTTATTAATACGGGTATTGCACTCAATTATTATTATTTAATTACTTCATAGATAAACGGTTACTTTAACTCTATATTTTTATTCGAATAACTAAGATATTCAATTATAAGTTTGATTTTTGTTTAACGGATTTCCTAAAAGTGAAAAATAACAACCATATATTCAAGAAATATCTATAGACTGAAGTTTTGTGTAAGTTTTCAATGCCGTAAAACCAAAAGCCTGCTTGAGACGGTCGGGTGGGTTTGTTTTTGCGGGTCAGTAACGATTTTTATTATTGTAAAAGAGCTACATAATTTCTTTGGATACAAAATGACTGATGTATTTATTAATTATCCTTACTAGAAATAAACTATAAATCTTTAATTATGGCAATGGGGCTCCTAGGGGCTCCGCTCTTCTATAACACAAGTTTCTGGTTTTTTCAATCAATAATTCGATTGTTTTTTTTTTCTGAATTACATTTAATTTAATTTCGAGTGCGTGCATGTGTGTTTCTCATACAGAGAGATAAGCAATCTACATAGAATTTTAATTTTTTAATCTCTCTCTCTCTCTTACTCGTTACGGAATGGTAAAATAATGTCCTAAAGTTTCGACATTTAATTTTCGATAAAGATTTATTTTTAGGCTCTATTTTAATGTTGTTGTTATATATACTTAACTTTTGTTGTCATTGAATGAGTATTAAATGTGCTGGGTAGTACCTATGCATATTGCTGTATTTAAATAAGGCAAGTGAGATCAAGGCTCACTAGTTGTGGTAATGCATATCTGCATGTGTTAACTATGTATGTATGCAATGCAATTGTGATGCGATCTTATGCACAAGTACAAGCAACAGCGCGACAGGTTTTTCAAAGCTGTCGATATAAGGTAGACAGATAAGATAAAGTACAAATAAGTTTTAATTAAAAATAATATAAAAAAACATACATCATATCCTGACAAAACGTGAATATGAAACTCTATAGAAAAAATTACAAAGTTACCTATAATATTCACTAATATCAATTTCTGTTAACTATAGACAAAGAAATCTTTTGCCTTATTAGCTACAGATAAGTTAGCGATAGGTTACGGATTCAAAATCCATCTCGGACGTCTCAGATTGTAGATTTTTTAAGTATTCTTCATCAACATAAATATTAGCTTAGCTCTATATAATTCATCAGTTTTTTCCACTGCAGGGGCACAGGTCTTTCGTATGGTTTTAAGCGATAAACCGCTTAACGTAAACCCAAAGGAGCTCATGGTATAAAATGTTAATACAACTTTTTTATTACCTTCGTCGATCAACAATACAACTTTATTTATGGATCGAAATTTTTTACCGACACTTGCAAAGCATTGCAGACTGATCGCGCTAACCACTGTGCTATTGAGCTCCACTTTATTACTATTATGCTTTTAAAAACTTTCAGCGGTTTCGCCCGTATTGTCCCAGAGAACTGTTTATTTGAATATCGATTGTTAATATGATATGCATATAATAACAAATTGAGTAGTAAACAATGGTTTTTATGGTTTTTAATACCCTATACAAACTTCCACTCTCATTTTATTCCCTTTATTTGCTGTTTTTCGGGTTTAAATATATAACATAGCCTATTTTCACCGCATATGGTGTAGCTTCCCGTATGTGAAAGAGTTTTAGTTCAGTTAAGTAGTTTCAAAGCCTATTCTTTGCAAACAATATAGACTAGCTGTTTCCGCGACTTGGCCCCCGTAAATTATAGCCTATTTTCCACGTGGGATGTAGCTTCCCGTAAAGAAAGGAAAGATTTGATCGTTTGGTTGTTTGAATCGAATAGACTCCAAAGCGACTGGACCGATTTTAAAAATTTTACGGGTAGCAGGGACAGTATATAATGCATTCCTTGAGTACAAAAAAAGGTAAACTATCATAGAGTTTCAGTAAAACTTGATATGCAGTTTATTGTCATAATAGAAATAACCTTGCAAGCAATCGATAAACAGAGCGATGCAAATATTTGTAATTGAAACGTGCAACTATATAAAGCTTGAATTAGATATGTAAGCATCGGTAATTATGTATAATAATACGACAATAATTAATGTTACAAAGATGTCTGCTTACAAATTTCTAATTCTGTATTTTATAAATCATTTGCTGGGGCACATGCACCTTTCTAATGGATGGAATGGAATGGACCACAGCCCACCACGCAAGTCTAATTCGTATTAAAACGGATATTCGCAACTATAGCCTTCCGAATCACGAATGAGCTCGATATTCCGATCACCCATCGAATTACCAGCCCTCGTGAAAGTTATTCAACTTCACACGTTTACTACGGCGTTGTAAATTTGAATGTAAACAAACTTGAATTTGTATGTTTTTGAAGAGGATTTATTAGCTAAATTGCAAAATTTCTTTTATTTGAATATCTTAGAGTTCAAATTCGTGTCACCTTAATGTGGTGTGGGTAGTTTATTAATCTTTTAACGGGTGCGTTTTCGAAGTCTACTTCGGTATGGTTCTAGAAAAGCCTTCTAGAAGTCTAAATTTATTAAAAGCTGTGTTTGTTAGTCTAGTTCGTTTTTTTGCGCCTGTAACTTTTTCATAGCAAAAATGTACTCAATTTGACTTTATTTGTCAAATTGAAGACATTTTTGCTATTCATTCATTCTATTTCACATGGATGACAAAAAACAACAAATCTCAATGTGGTCGAAGACATGTTTATATTTTTCTTTGTATCCTATAGAGAAATACTTATATATAAAATCTGCAGTGTTAGATGCTCGAGATGAGTTGATTAGAGATTGTTCTTTTTGAAAAGTGTTTTTACTAACAAAATTTATGAAAATATAACTTTAAACCGTATTTATTGATAAAAAGTAATGCACATGCGTAAGACGTAATATTTGATAACAGAGATAACATGTAATGTAACCCTACAAAACATTCAGTCTGTGATCTAACTTTGAGGAAGGCGGACGCTCAAAAAATTCATTTGGCAAATAAGTACGTGAGTTTCGTAATTAGACTATTTTTAGGTTTTTGCATTACGATGTCAGTGACGTACTCTAGTGACGATTAAAGATTTTTCGTTGATGTGACAATGTGTTTTTGTAAAGGAGCGTGAAACCGATTATAATTATGGTCAAATTAAATACGGTTTTTGATCGCTACATACTTATTTTGGAAAACTTTAATAATATATACCTGTAAAGTCTATAAAATTAAGTACAAAATTAATGTAAATATGCAAATCTATAGTAAAGTTGTTTGCTTAAAATGCCCCCAAATTTATTTGGGATAGGTGCAATATGTTTTTCTACTTCCAGACTATTTATTGTTGATACCTACGTGATTGTTTACTATTAAATTAATTTGATTTCAGTCCAACTGAATTACTGATTAGTTTAAGATATTTTTAACCATTTTTATTTAGGGAAAAATGCTTTTCACAAAAACCACTATCTAGGGAAAGTTAAGATTGTGTGGGACTCAACCCTCAAGTGACCCTTACTGTCTTATACTAAAGTTAGTAGATACTTGATTTAAACCGTTTGACCACGCCAAAACAAATTAACAATTACAGAAGAGAAAATATCAAATGGAGACATGTCGACCTATTTTGTTCGGATAAATGTTTAAACCTGGTACTAAAGTTAGCCCTCGTTTTATAATAAGAAGGTTGAAGGTTGATTATTTTATTTTTTTTAATATTTCAGTATCGATAAAAGAAGCTATGAAGATCGGGTTCATTGGAGGTGGTAGACTGGCGTTTGCGTTGGCGAATGGATTTACATCTGCAGGTAATTTATTAGATTTTTTTAAATAAAGTATAGTTAAGTTCTATAATGTACTTATCTAACTATTTATTTATACACTTTATTGCACAACAAATTAAATTTACAACTGATGTGCAGTAGGCGGCGGTCTCTTCCAGGTAACCTATTTCTTGTTGAGAATATGATGATACATAATTATGGGTCGTTCACAAATGAAAAAAGGCTAACTGTACAATATCCCCCCACGATTTGAATTTGTATCTGGCTGATTTCAGTATCATTAAAAAGTTTAAATTTTAATAAAGATAACTCTGACTTCATATTAGGAAAATGTGTGATTTTCATTTGTTTTTATTACTGTCAAAATGAGTGAATCTAATGAAGAAAATCGATACACCAATGGCTAAGCACAAGCCAAAGGTAAAAATGTAGCGCAAACCGCGAAAAGAATTGTGACTGTGATTGTCAGATGCATATCGGCGTCGCTTCGGTCGCCCTGATACGTCTAAAATGAATGCTGTTTCTTTGATATTTTGTCTTCCACCAATATTTTTAGTTTTACTTTTAGTTATTTAAATTTTATTTAGAGAAATGATTAATACTATAAGGCTCCTGTATATGTTATACATATATTTACTTTTTAATATTTCAGGTCTAGCAAAACCTGATGAAATTACAGCGAGCTGCCACCCAGCTGACGTGTTGAGTGCAGATGCCTTTAAGGCAAGTATTACGCATTTGCTTGTCTCTATGTTTCTTCTAAAATCCGTAATCGCCGTTTATGTTGATATGAAAAAAATCCACTTCTGTAGAAAGTATCGAATTGTGTTATATTATACCGTTAGGATCACTTAATATTATGGCATCCCGAACCCTTCCCCAACAGCGATTTTTATCAAAGGTGCGATCACCAACTCTCTAGCCATAGGATAAGACATCCAACCCAGCCAACACATAAGCCAGATAGTAGCGAAAATATACCACAATAAGCAGTGTCAAGCTTTATTACTTTTGCATTACAGATGACGTTATGGCTTTATTTTGAATAAGAGAATTTTAAAATTAAAATTATGTTGTAAGCTTACTAAATTCTGTATAAAGTTTGCGATATTTTTTCAAGCTGAATAGTAAGCAAGAGTAGAATCTGTTAAACAAGCGATATTCAAATAAAAGTAATTGAAACAGCTATTATCTGCACAGTAGCTGAAGTTTTTGCATTAACAGCAAAACGCTGAATATTAGACGAAATATTTTCTTTAAGCTGCATAGTGTACGAAATGGTACTAATTTATTCAGATGCTGAATATTTTAGATTTTTACTTCTTTACACAGCTGACTTCTGCATAATTGAAAATAAACTCCTTGTTTTACCTAACTTATAGCGCTATAAGCGTACAATTGTCTTTGTGTTAAGCTTAAAACAATATCAGTTACAAATGTGGGTATCTTAAGCAACAAATAACTGATTAGTTGAAGATATCGTATGTTTATATCCAGATATTTCACAATTTTGTGACCAAACTGATAAATACTGCATCAACAATATACCTCCTCAGAAAAATAATAACAAAAGCGTAAATGATTCATGGAAAAAAAGAAAAAGAACGGGAGGAATAAGAAGAAAGTTTTCACGAGAGTATGAAAAGATAAAAAAAAGTATCTGTGCAGTAATAGAAAAGGGTTTGAAAACTAATACAAATAGGCCCGGGTCAAGTGCGACCAATACAGTTGAAGAGGGTTCTGTACACGATAATTGTGCAAACGGACCATATAACGAGAGTTATATGCGTGACAAGTTTGCATATCAATCACAATTTGATAGTGATTCAAGTTCTACTAATTTAGAAGAAAACTCAGAATTTGATAAAAAATATTATTATTATTTTCAATAAATAAAAAATTGTGTTGTTCTAATTCCGTTTCATCCGTATCAGTTCTGTTAAACATTTGAGATAATTCTTCCTCAGTTTTCCTCGGGTTCTTGCAAAGCAGCCCGCCTTTTTTGGCCAGTATAATACTCCTTTGTTTTTCCTAGAAGCGGGCATTGTTGATAATTCAACTCGGGCTTTTTTACAAGTCGAAACGATTTTGAACATGTTTCTGAAAAAAAAATATGCAATTTTTCTATAACACTTCAAAAATACTACAACACTATTATAAATACTAACATTATATAATAAATCTCGATGTTTACGTTTGTATCTTACTTATTGACTACATGAGCGCAACAAGCCTGAGTGTTTAAAAAGTTATTTAACATTAGTATAGGTCCCATCAACCTCAAATATTCATGGATTTATTTTCTACAAAAAAGGACCCTAAAAAGCTGAATTAGAGTATACTGCATTATGTAATTTAAAACCTTTCTCTGAAAAATGTATAATTATTGTACTTTAAACCAAATAATTTCTGGATATGTAGTTGTATGTGAACTATTATGCAGAAATAAGCAAAATAATCACTGAAATAGACACTTTTATTCAAATAGGCCATCCGCCATTAACAAACGTTCGACATAACCTCTTCTTATAAAAATCCTCAACATTTATCTTATGAAACACTTTGTTTAGTGAGTAGGAAACATTAGCAGTTATACAAAATTTGATTCTCATTATTTTCTGGGACTGAAATTTGATAAAAAGTAAAGATAATTTAATTTAAGTATTATTTCACGTTTGTTTGCCTTTTAATTTGTAGCTTTATCTGAAGGCGCTCAAAAAATGTATAATAATCATATTGATAATTCACAGTAAAGTGCCATGCGTTTATATAATTCACCTTAAACTTACTTAAAATGTATGAAACAATTTGCTTACAAAATTTTTGAAGTCGTGAATTAGCGACCATTACAATATTTTGAAGTAAGTAACACAAAATAATCTCGTCACAATGAAAAATACATTTATACATTTTTACTTGCATAATTTCTTTGTAAAACTTCCCCTGAGATCGGAATTGTGAATATCATTTGAATATCTGAACTCACAAATTAACAACTGCATAAGAGATGTATAATTTCTGGACTAAAGAAAAAACAGAATTTATGCAGAAGATATTCAGTGTGTTGTACATTTATTCAGCTGCTATGTAGCTATTAATCAAATGTTATCCAAATTGAACCAAGATATTTTGTGCCCAAATTGCTTGAATATCATCTGTATAAGCGCTTACACAGAAGTTATACAAATGCTTTATCCAGCTTAAAGTCAAAAGAATTGCTTTTACGCAAAATTTATTCAGCTAATCTGTGTTGGCTGGGAAGCGACGTTATGGTAACATTTTCTTTTATAATATTTCATTTTACTACTTCTTCTTTGATTTCGTGAGATAAATAACTAATTTGTTTACCTTGTGTTAAATCCATAATTAAAAGTCGTTAGTAAAATACATGTGAAAGTTGTAAAATGAGACGAAATATCGATATAACGTTTCTAATATATCATATCCTATGGCTAGTCATAACTGGAGAGTTAGGTGGTTGAATATCTGGTGCGCCAACTATTTTTAAGTCGAGTGATGCTTCTCCCTCACAAAAAGGATACTCGTAGCAGATTTTTCAGGTAGATCGGCCTTGCGTGTCCTTTTCTTTTTAGGATGGGTGCAGGGTCGGAGACCCTTGATTTAAGGCTAAAGTACATTTTCCCTTGAAGGTTGAAGAGCCCTATTATAAAGCATAAGATGTATTCCCAGGGGAATATAAACATATATTTATCGTTTATAAACATATTTGATCAATTATTTGTTCGGTCTGCAATGGGGACTTTAATAACTTTCGCAAAAGCCCGTCATAGAATGGGTAATTAAAAATTTATTATCTCGAGTGTTTTGGTTGGTCCCGAGCTTCCGGCTGTAGTATTCCCAAACCCCCTTGATCTATCATAGCCCATTTTCCCTATGCGAATCGTTTCCATCCATAGGGAAAGCCTGTGGGAAACCTCAGTAGGGGGGACATTATAAGGATGACGATGAAACTTAAATAAATAATGATCTGAACAACTAAGAGATATACGTACTAGTTAGTATAGTACGTATATCTTATAGTCTACATTCATGTAATGATTCCGTTTGTGACGTAAGGTGATCAACCTTGACTTTGTCTCTCGAGTAATATAGATACGTTATCGAGTTCACTGTTTACAAAAATAGATGTTCCTAACCTATGAAGATACTCATAAAACTTTAACACCATAACTCATTTGTGTATTCTACACACTCATTACGATAACGACGTGTTTTATATTATTTATAATAATTAATTTTATTGAAAGTATTGTATATTAGACAACATCACATACATTCCTCGGACTCCAAGATGAGTAGCTAAAGTATTAAAGTAAAATATTCCATAATACTGGGAGGTTGTTATGGAATATATGAGACAACAAAGATAACAAACCACTCAGACTCGACCGGAAATCGAAACCGGGACCGCAGAGATCACGATACCTTGAAACCAATGTGCGAACTACTCGGCTATTTTGAAAGATTTGCGAAATTAATAAAGAGAATATTTAAGCGAATAGATTTTAATATCAAATAAAAAAGGTGATTCACCAAAAATTTCAGCTGTTTTTAAATTACAATACTAAGTTCTTACTGATTGTTAACAAAGTTGATTACAAATCTGAAACTGCAATGAATCCATAACAGTACTTTTAAAAATCTCCTTCTTCACCAAATGTTACAAACGTTTCTATCTTATTATGTTGAAAAACAGCCTCGAACTAGAATGCGAGTGCAGCGCTATCACATAGTTTTTATGGTTATCACATAATTACACCTCTATGCATAAGATTAGGGATATCCTACCATAATATTATAAATGCGAAAGTTTATCAGGAAGTGGGAAAAGATTTTGGATCATTCAAAAGTGCTATATTTCTTTTTTGTTTTTCTAGACATTAGGTGCAACCGCACTTTTCGAGAACAAATCAGTAGTTGAGCGATCCGAAGTTATTATTGTGTCTGTTAAGCCTGACGTGGTCGGTAAGGCGCTGAGGGAAGTGAAAGACTTGCAGGCGTCTGGAAATAAGCTGTTCATATCTGTTGCTATGGGAGTATCCACTGCCAGTATTGAGAAGGTAGGTCAACATTAATCTTTACAGTGAAAAATGACAGTATTTTTTAGATGCTACTGTAAAGTGAGATCCTCACTTTAATAAAAGGTACTTAAAACCTTTTTTGGGATTAAGTTTATGTCTGATATTTTTACTAATAGCAACCAAATAACCCAAACTTACTGGGCCCGCGTCTTGAGTAGCAATTGGAACTATTAATAGATTTATACTGATGATGATGTTCTGCTACCTACAGATGTTGCCGTCTACAGCTCGAGTAATACGAGTTATGCCAAATACACCGGCGTTAGTGAAGGAAGGTGCCGCAGCACTTTGCCGCGGCAAGCTGACCACGGACGAGGACGTGAAACTGGCCACGCAGCTGTTCCGAGCCGTGGGAACATGTGACGAAGTGCCGGAGTATCAGATGGACGCAGTCACTGCTCTCAGCGGAAGTGGACCCGCCTATGTAATGAGCTGGGTTAATTTTAAGGGTCGTGTACTACAAAAGGAAATACGAATGGGTGATAAGCTTAGTCAGTTGTCCATTTCTCTAGTTTGTCCGGATACAGCCGTTTTGCTTCACTTTTGCGGTACCAAATTCGATTCCTATGCTATTCTGTAATAAAATTAACATCGAACTCGACGTCATACACAGCGCTGGTACAGTATAGATGTTCAATCAAATAAAACCTACTTCAAAATAATAAACGTAGATAAAAAGAAATCAAGATAGGAAATTAACTTTTCCACATTGTCTCATGTCCGGATATAGTACCTTTGTTGTATGCTACAAGCTACTTCATTTGGGATCTGAGCAATATTTATGTATCTAATATAAAAGAGAAACATAAACATGAAAAAATTAAATAACTTTTTTTTGTACAAATCGTAGGATACCTCTTTCAATGTATGCTTTACGTCATGTCATATAAAATATAGAATGAAACAATACAACAAGTACAGCTATTCAGAGGATTGACATGTCTGCCCAGGGCAAGGGTGCGACCGCCAACTCTCTAGCCATAACTCTAGGATACACACATCTTAGCGACTACTGAGACGTTAATTCGTTATATTTTTCCTAGTTTGTGAACGATTTTCTTGTTGCAATAAACACTGTTTGTACTCTAAGGGCTAACTTTATAAACGCTATAATTAATTAAAAAACTTTTCCAGATTTACATGATGATAGAATCTCTGGCTGATGGTGGTGTCAGATGTGGGCTACCTAGGGACTTGGCACTGCGCCTCGCTACTCAGACCACACTCGGAACCGCGGCCATGTTGAAAAATGGCGGACATCCAGCCGCCATGAAGGATAATGTTACCAGTCCTGCAGGATCAACTGCGGAAGGGACCTATCATTTGGAGAAAAATGGTAAACAATTACAAACTCTGTTAACAATTACATTTGTATCTATAGTAGCATTACTTGAGTAAACCAATAAGAATATAATAAGGATTTGACTGAAGTAACAACTCCCAATAGCTAATAATTAATAATGGAAGACAATGGAAATATTTTGAGAGTTCTTACTTTACCTGATGACCAGGTACAATTTAATTAAAAGCAGTGATCTCAAAACATGAAACAAATATGATTTTAATGTGTATGTATTTCAGCTAAAACCTTAATATGATTAAGGTTTTAGCTGAAATACATACAGCACTTCTTCATCATCATCAGCCCTTTCACGTCCTTACTGCAGGGGCTCCGGACTTCCTTATTGATGTTTAAGGAGGATGGCCATGACCCTCCACGCTGGCCCTATGTGGATTGGAGTTGGATTGGAGGAACTTGACTTGTTTTCCGAAACACGGAGTAGCTCGAGATAATAATTCTTTTAGTCACCCATCCCGTGTCCGACTCTTGCGAAAGTTGCTTAACAAAAAAATCATCTCAAAAATCCATTGCAGAACATATTGTGGTAACCTGATATGTACCCGTGTATACCTTTGGTACCTAGACATAACCACGTAGACGACGCTTTAAAAAAATATCTATAGTAGTTTAATCTTGGATTATACTCGTATTTTAGTAAAGTTATTACGGACCGTTATTTTAGAAATAATTTTCCAATATAACACAGTTTTAAATACGCAATATGTTTCAGGTTTAAGGGCAGCCGTCATCGGCGCTGTCAAAGCTGCAGAAGAAAGATGCAAACAAGTGAATAGAGAACTCTCTGAAAAGCTTTAACGTTTAATTTTATATGTATAATTATAACTTAATTACATTTTTATATTACACTTTCTTTGAAAGTTCAACTCGTTTGTTACTAAATAACGTTACACCTTCGTGAATGAGGCAACCAATAAAAATGATACTACCCGCTAAGACCGTTCTCAATCTCATTCCTCGTGGATTCATCGTGGTGTACAGACGTACACCACGATGAATCCACGAGGAATGAGATTGAGAACCGTCAGTAATAACATTGTCACTGTAACTGTTGTTAGATAGACTATAGACATACAAGAAGTTATTTAGATTATTTATTTAGAGTAATTGCTATTCTGTTTATTGGTTTTAAGGCTATTTAATAATATAATGTTTGTTGGGTAGGGCGATCGCGGAAAACGACCGATTTTGGAAAAACAAATATTCAGCGGATAGTGCAAATGTATGCGCGTCGTCTGCGACTGGTAACGGATCGCGCGCGCTTGTTCGCTGCATAAATGAGACTGCCCTCGAAGAAGACCAGCAGCTGCCTTGCAATTCTATAAAAATCCAAACCCAAATTCGAATTCACTCACGTTTATAACATTTTGTGGCATAAGGGAAGTGAGTTTCGAAATGACATAGGAATAGAATATCTGACGTATATCCAACCAATTTTGTTTTGTATTTTTACACAAAAATTGGAATCAATAGAATTTCTACACTAAATGACTTATATTCTGATGTATGGAATTTGCTGCTGCATGTTTACAAAATCGCAGGGCTGGTCGAGGTTGGGTGGCACCATGTGCGTGAGCGCCCTCTGCCTATTGGTCGGAGTTGCGCCATCTCATTCTCATGACCGAATAGGATGAGGGCAACACGCAAGTCCGACATCGGCTTTGCAACTCCAGCGAAACATACTATTTATTAAAACAAAGAATCACTAAGCAAAGCAAAATAATATATCTGATTACTTCATTACACACATAACAACCAAGTTCAACTAAGTTTGGTATTTCCGTGAACCCTACAAAATGCCAAGCAATTGTGGTAGGAAGCTCCAAACAGATTATTAAACTTAATTCTGGTCTGCTCCCACCTGTTGTGTATGAAAACTCTGTAATGCCCTTCAGTTCCACAGTTAAAACCTTGGACTTTTTATTGATTCGGAGCTCAGATGGACATCACAGGTTGCCGAGGTTAATCGTGTGCTAACTTATTCTTTGCGCTCGCTTAATCGCTTCAGACATTTCCTTCCTACCAAAACTAAGGTCACCCTCGTCTCTTCCTTTATTCTTCCTATTATTGATTATGCTGATGTCTGTTACCCTGATTTAAACGAAGATCTTCTCAATTAGTTGGACCGCTTTGTCAACAATGCAATTCGTTTTATTTTCTGCCTTCGCAAGTATGATCATGTTTCGTGTTATCGGTCTCAACTAAAATGGCTTTCTATTCGTCAGCGCAGACAGCTACGACTGCTCTGTACGCTCATTTCCATACTTTGTACCCCTTATTCTCCAAATTACCTAAAAAGTTAATTTCAATACCTTTGTGATTCTCATGATAGACAGCTGCGTTCTTCTATCTACTATCCACTCCGCTTTTCCATTCTGGTTTTATGGCAGAGTCTTTCACCCAGTGGCGTAGCTAGGTAACCTAGGGTCCTGGGGCAAATAAAAAAAATGGGGCCCACTGCTATCAAAACTGGTAAGGTTTTTTGAAGTAAAATCATTAAATATACAAATACTTTAAAAATACTAAGCAACTTTATCATTAGCTCTTTTTCGTGCATGGGCAAGTAATAAAACTATTAAACACTAACAACATAAATTACAATTATTTTGATACTTGTTGTAGGTATTGGGCAATTAAACGAAATAGAAAAGATTCAAGGGTTTATTATATATTTATTTATTCATAGATACGTTGCACCAGCTTACTGTTGTTTAACCTATCGCCAAGCAAGCTACATATTTACAAAAATTATCAATTGATATATTTTGTCCAGAAGTACTTGCAGGAGGCTGACTAAAAAACTTGTCAATTTTGGGCAATTTTTGTTTACTTTCTTCTCTTTCTTGGCGTTGTTTGCGTTTAAATGCACCACTGGGTTTTTTTCTAATTTATCTAGTTCCTGTTTTCTAATTTATTTATGTTTGTACATAAATTTATTTATGTTTGTACATAAATAAATTAGAAAAAATGTACTCAAGTATGTACTCACTGTTCACTGACAACGTTACAAGTAAAAGGAAAGCGAAACGTAATGATACGTTTTACAAGACACCATTGGGGAATCCCCGGCAAACATTTTATCGCTGCCAGTGTTACCACATTTGACGGTTTAAAAAATGACAAAAAACCATCACGTAATTAATGGACGGCCCCCAACCGCATGTGACTTGTATTTTGCACGGTATTTAAGTTATATAACATAGTTATATAACGGTGAGTTATATAACTATGTATACGTACTTTAATCAAATAAAATTGAACTTTTGTATGGACCAGTACAAAAAATTTATTGACATACGCTTACTTACTCCTGATACATTAACTTTTTAATCACAATCGCGAATCACAAAAAACGCATATCGATAAATAATAATATGCAGATATTGATATCCGACAAATTGATGAAAACATTAATAACACTGTCAACCTACACAAATAATTTAGGGGAATTCCCTTTTTATAACTTTGGAATTTCTCACAATTGAGTTGCCGTGATTAAACTCGAGTTGTCACCTGTCATATTTATTTTGAAAATGGGAGAAATTTTCAAAAGTTGAGTTCGATTGAGATTTTCTGGTAAAGATTCGAGGGCCCCCTGAGCTTGAGGGCCCCGGGGCACTGCCCCACCTAGCCCCTTAGTAGCTACGCCACTGCTTTCACCCTTCAAACCGTACGACTTTGGAATGGCCTCCCCGACACCATCAGACGATCTCCTAACAAATTCATTTTTAAACGGAAAGCTCACATTTTTCTCTTGGAACGTTTATGAAGATCATCATCATATATATGTATCATAGTATATGTATCATAATTCATATTGTTGATGTATAATGTTGACGTATTTATGTATATGTACTTATATGTATTTATGTTTATATATAGATTTAACATTTATTTATGTTTATATAATTGTATATAAATTCTTCTGTAGTGTAGTTTAAGTAGTATATTTATTAGTTAACTTTATACCGCCATCATGTATTTCTGTATCCCAAAGGTAGACTGGTAAAGAATGCTAATAGCATTAAGTCCGCCTTTTGTACCAATTCAATGATCAATAAAGTTTGTTAAATAAATAAATAACAATACTATTTAATTACAATATATGAAGAGCGGTCTTATTGTACTAATCGTCGTCAACAATGTTCTTGGCTGACATTATTATCTTATTATAGTTATAAGTAAAGCATTCAGTGCTAGTATAAAATAGATATTTTTAGTAGATTCATATTATAAAGCGAGTCTGATGTCTTGCAGTTGATAAGGCATGTCATCTGGTACCATCGTTAAATAAATTGCAACCTTTTATGTACGTTCACCCAAAGATATTACAATAATAAAAGGTAGATAGGTCATGTCAGTACTAATACGATGTCATAAATTATTACGATATTCTCCAATTATTGATAGGCTATACTTTTTATAATTGAACATGTCACTGACACCGATATATAATATATATAATAACACCAGGGCTTCGATCGAAATCGGAGTATTTTTTTAGCTCCGGAGTTAGGTTTTGATGCTCCGAATTCAAACCCTGGAGCTTTGGAGTTTCAGTCTCATATAGAATTTCTAACAAATGTAAGGTAAAGCGTAGGCACTAAAGTTGGACGATTCAAAAGTACTTTTAAGAAGTCTATTTGAATAAAGATTACACTGGTAAACAGTATTTTTGTTAAACAAAATCGAGTCGGTTTTTTAAACACTACTACCTACCCGCATATAAACCTCATACTTAGTTTTGTTCAATCACCCTCAGTTTTCGTTAAACATAAACTAAATTGATTACGCGAATTTTGCTTACCGACGTATGTTTCCGATAAATTAATATTGAATTATTGAAATTAAAACGGTTTTTTTTTTGTGATTGTCGTTTCTGTACATCGTAATAAGATGCCCAGAGTGTGTGTAAACCATCCTGATAACTTTTGTTACATTTGCGGTCAACTTACTATAAAAAGTCAACGTCGTAATTTGACACCATTAGTTAAAAACTGTTATTTTAATTATTATGGCTTTCCGGTGCGAAATTTGGACAAAACCTGGACTCCTATTGTTTGTTGTGCACAATGTGTAAGTTTATTAACATCATGGGCTAAAGGATCTCGTCATATGCCGTTTGCAGTTCCAATGATATGGTCTGAACAGAAAGACCATGTATCAGATTGTTATTTCTGCCAAACTTCTATCAAAGGTATTAATCACAACACACCGTGAACTATCCGAATTTACAATCTGCTCAAAGACCTATCCCACACAGTGTTGATCTGCCTGTTCCTCAGCCTTGTTTTTGTTACTTGAAACAGAAATTCCCAAAAATCAGCGATGCCAAAATAAAAGAGGGAATATTTGTAGGACCACAAATTAGAGATACTGTCTGATAAAGAATTTGAACAAAAACTTAATCCGATCGAGAAATATTGTTTGTAATTTTCTTGGAAACCACAAGGCCGAAAACTATAAAGAGTTGGTCAACGACCTCTTATCAGTTTACAAGAATATGGGATGCAGTATGTCGCTCAAGATACATTTCTTACACTCTCATTTGGATTTTTTTTCCTCAAAATTTGGGAGCCGTTAGTGATGAACACGGCGAGCGATTCCATCAGGATATATCCAACATGGAAAAACGGTACCAAGGCAAGTGGAGTCCGAACATGTTGGCTGATTACTGTTGGACACTCAAAAGAGATGTACCTGACGCTAAAAATTCCCGAAAATCCTGAATTAAAGTCAAATGTTAGTTGTTTTTCTTGATTAAATTCAATTTTCAACCATATTTACTTAAAAAAAAGTGTATTGCAGTTGCAAAAAAACTGAGGGTGACTGAAACTTTTTAAAAATGCAGATTATTAACAGCCTAATTGTAGATACAAAATATCCCATTCAAATTAATTTAACTTTCATTAAGGTCTTCTTTTTCTTCTTCTTTTATTAATGGTTTATCTGCGCATTTCGCACAATTCTGCCAATGTCAAGTGAATAAATAAATTTCTACATGTAAAATGAATATGAAATGAATGAAAGATGGCGATAAATCCCTTCATTAAGGTCATTTTTGTCAATCAGTGTTATTTTGACTTTGATTAAAGTCGAATTGACCGATCTATTACTGACATAATCTTTGACTGATCTATTTCACAATAAGGAAGTATTTAAAAAAAAATTAATTCCCGAAATCAAACTAGATGTCACTACGGTACTTTCTTGATTTCTCAATCACAACCTTTCCGGTTTTCTTTCATTTATAAAAGTAAATTAGTTTTCAAAACTCAGTTTTGGCAGTACAGCTTTTTAATTTTGTCAGACTATGATGTATTCATAATGAGGAAGTATTTAAAAAACAACATTAGTTCCCAAAATCCAACTAGATGTCGCCACGGTACGTTCTTGATTTCTCCATGACAACTTTTCATGTTTAAAAGTAAACTTTTCATTAAAATTTTCTTTCTGGTGTAATAAAAGTTAATTGAGTATCGAAAATTAATAAATATGACATAATTTCGTGATTCTTTTAATATCGAACTTTCAAATGAATTTTAATTTATTTGAATCGTAAGTTTAAGATTTTATTTTGTTACGTGTAAAGGAACGACATTTGGTGTATATGTCAACATTAGTGATGAGCCATCTTATTGGTTGCTCGTAACTTTAATTGACTCGATTCATCCGAATTCAAGTTTCAAATGAAGAACAAAAAGCGGAGCGCAAAATTCAGCTTGTTTTTTTATGTGCAGTATTTCCATATGTGCCACTTTGCATCCAAACGTCGAATGTTAATATAAAAATCAATATAGTCTAGGCTGTTAGTATCGTATTTGTCAAAGTCGTAAACTATACCAACGGTTCACAAAACTACGGCGGGAGACTTTGTACTAAAAACTAAAAACCGTCAAGAAACTCAGCAAGGAATGCTTTTTTCTCCCAGTTTTATTTCACACTGACAAATCTTATGGGAATGTGACTTAAATAATTGTCAAGTCATATATACTCATTCACAAATTAATAAGTAATATATTTTAATAAAACTGATTTCTAGAATAGGTAGAGTAGAAAGTCAATCTATTATTGACAATATTATTATAAGATCCAAAAACGTACGTATCCACCATACGAATTAATATAACACCTGGCTCAACGTCTGCCGTCGACATGCAAGTTAGGTAGCGACAGTATAATAGTATCAAAGTCGAAATAATCTTTATTCAAATAGACTTCTTAAAAGTACTTTTGAATCGTCCAACATTTCTTTCCCTACCACTCTTTCAGGACGTCTTTTGGCTGATTCGAAGAACGAGCAAGAAACTCACTAACTCTTAAAGGAGTAATTATTACATCTTATATTCATAAATAAATTATCTTAATTAAAATTCAACAATCAACAAGAAACGAACGGCAAGCTATAACTTTAAGTTTTAAAATCACTATTTATTATTTATCGTTTTAAGGGGCTATGCAGTTTCCTGAGGAACTGTAGTCACTACGACCTTAAAGATCGATTGTGACTCGCCGCCAGAATTACAGTAACTCCTTTAGCCCAGTAGACTTCAAAAAGTCTATAATATTCCTGGCTTTTAAAGATTTAATATCTTCTGGGCTGATTATATGTCGACCCAGATGTATGCTTCGTTTGTGGATCAGTGGTCCACATTCACACAGGAGATGTTTTGGTGTTTCACATTCCTGTTTGCAATATCTACAAATGTCAGTGTCACTAGTTTCATGTTAAATAGGTGTCTGTTTAATTTGCAGTGTCCAGATAAGGTTCGTACAATTGTACTTATATTTGGTCTGTTTAGCTTTAAGAGCTCTTCAGCTAGTTTTTATGAATAACCTTCAATCGGGGATTTAGCGTGATTTAATCCCGGTTGTTTTTGCCCTTTGCAGGTCATTCTTTAGAATTTGCATCACATGGTTTTTTGGGATGCCACAAAGGGCTCTGGTCCTGTTTGTAGTCCCTGTGCTCCAGCCCTTGCTAATTCATCCGCTTTTTCATTGCCGATGATGCCCGAGTGTCCGGTACCCATTTAAGAATAATTTTACTCTTCTGCCCCAGTTCACTCAGTCTGTCAGTACAGTCTTTTACCAGTTTCGAATTTATCACGTTCGACTGTATGGCATTGAAAGCTGCTTGACTATCAGAGTATAAGTAAATGGTTAGGTAATGGCGATTAGCTTCCACACGTTCTAAAATGGCGTATAATTCAGCCTAGAAAATAGTAGCGTTTATCCTAAGATTCACTTTTCTTGAATTTCGGTCTTACACCATATATTCCACATCCTACATTATGATCACTAAGACACGTATAGTTATTATACTATCGCTACTAAATTTGCATGTCGACGGCGGACGTCGAGCCAGGTGTTATGTTAATTCGTATGATGGATTTTGTACTTATTAAGTACGTAGAGTAGTCACGCTATCTTATAAATCTCTGCGGTGGTGTCGTGTGTGTCAGCTCGTTACATTCCCTGTAATATAATTGAATGAAGCGATGGCTGGCTCATGCGCCAAGCTCGTCAACGGGTGCTGTCAGTGGGGATAAGTCTGCACTGGACTACTTAATTAATAAAAAAATCGTCCAATCGCTTTAATCATGAATATTGTATATTAATTTGTCAATGAGTATGTGTGACTTATCAACTGGCATATTAATCAGTAATCGACAAATATTTGTCTTGTTATTTCTGATATTCTAATGGAAAGAGATTTCATAGTCTAATTAGGTCATATTCCAATAAGATTTATCTGTGTGAAATAAAACAGGGAGAAAAAAGCAACTCTTGCTGAGTTTCTTACCGGTTCTTCTCAGTATAAGGTCTCCCGTCGTAGTTTTGTGCGAACTGTTGGCATAGTTTACGACTTTGACAAATACTATACTAACAGCCTAGACTATATTGATTTTTATATTAATATCATTCGACGTTTGGATGCACAGTGGCACATATGGAAATACTGCACATAAAAAAACAAGCTGAATTCTGCGCTCCGCTTTTTGCTCTTCATTTCAAACCTGAATTCGGACGAATCGAGTCACTTAAAGTTAATAGCAAACAATAAGATGGCTCATCACTAATGTTGACATATAAACCGAATATTGTTCCTGCTTTACACGTAACAAAATAAAAAGCTTAAACTTACGATTCAAATAAATTTGAAAGTTCGATATTATAAGAAACACGAAAGGATGTCATATTATTAATGTTCGATACTCAATTTACTTTTATTACGTCAGAAAGAAAATTTGATCGCTAGTGACATTTAGTTTGATTTCAAGAACTATTTTTTATTTTTTAAATACCTCATTCAGTAATCGTTTTGGTATCGAATCATACGAATCGTTCTCATGTGACAACTTATTAGAATCGATTTTCGTATTTTAAAGTGTTGTTGGAACTTGGAAGATTGTTGGTCTGATTTTCGCATACTTTACTCCTTTACTCTTTGGTTTTTCGTCAGGAAGTTCAAACAAAAGCAAGTAAATTTATTTTCTGTTGGTGGACCAAAGAGAATTTAAACACTAAAGTTTCTGTAGACAGATAATTCCGTGGCTAAACCTGTGAATTTCCTTTGAATAAAAAAAACGAATTTTCTGCTACATTGATTTGTCTTCCCAACGTGTCGGCATTGGTTTCGGCTAATAAAAAACGAAAGTAACACACTATCAATGGATATAATGAAATAATTATTAAGACATTCGTTTTGGTTGGAAGAAGAATCCCGGCTTTGTTCCATTAAATGTTGTGATTTGTGTCGTTTTTTTTCAAAGGCCCGGTGCTTGTTTACATTCTCCTGGATAGTCTGCTTGGGTGCCGTAACTGTGCGTCTTGTCAACAGTTTACTTGCTTATTGGAAGTGCCAAATCGTGATGCCGGTTATGTTCACTAGATCGAAGTTTAACAGTTCTGTGCAATTGACTTAAACATATATTCGAATAAACTGATCAACCCACGTCGATAATAAAGACTCCTACGCATCGCCACATATACTGCGTTATGGTCAGAAAACCTTACAATGAGATTGAGACTAGACGAAATATATTCACACACAACTTATCATTTCAAGAACGGCTTGTATAATTAAAGATAATAGTTATTTTATAGTGTAAAAACAGTGCTATTTCAAAGTTGTATTGGCAACTAAAATCCGTTGTTTTTATCTTCAAGGTTACATTATTTCAATGCTCTTCAATAGTAACAATTTGGTAAGAATTTAATATTATTACTTGGCTATGTATTAATAACAGTATATAACCTATATTTTAATATTTACTAGCATCAATAATCTAATATAATTTGATACATTAATTTATTTTTTAAGTAAATATGAGATAATCTAACTACTTTCTAACTGGCATACATAATAGGAATGCTGTCCAATTGACTTAATTTGAAAACCTTGCTATTGGAGGATAGTAAGTAAACTTTTGTTTTGAAAGAAATCATTGGACTATCACTACTACACAACTTTAAGTATTAATATGGAATCAATGATAAAATGTGATCATTTATCATTATTATATTAATTTTTCAATAATTAAGTGTTTGAATTTGATGGGACAGTAAGAAAATAATAATATATGTTTATTTTTAAATTCATGAAATTGATCAAACAAAGTAATAATTAAACTTGTCATAAGACAATCATCTTTAAGTGTCATGCATTTTTATGCATCAAATTAAAACTTGGTTTGTTTATTAACCTCTTCTTTTGTTTGACGATTGAAAACACTCCTATTAAGAGCTGTTATGTTTTTTCCCTCATTTGTCAGTCAAGAGAAGTCCTGAGTAAATGGTAGGAAATTATAGGTATGATTTGAAAATGCTTTAATTAAGTTTTTTGAACTATACCTATAATTAGTTTCCACTTAGTTTTATGTGAATTTTAATATTTTCATTTCATTTGAACCACAGATATTCACCACAAATGGACATCTAATTTCAAAAAGTTTACATTGATGCAAGAACATCAATGTATTATATAGCAAAATAAATAAGATTATAATTTAGGTGATGTTTTAGGCTTTAGATATAAAAACCTTAAACATTTGAGCTATTAAAAAAATGGTTATGTTAAAAGAAACATGTTTTTAAGAAAAATAAATAAGTTGTTAATCAATTATTCAAAATCCATTTATTTAAAATAGCACATACCTAGTTGTAGATTTATTAACTTCTTCATTAATTTTGTTTCTTCATTGTATTTTTTTGAGGCCTGGTATTTTTACAGTTATAACAATAACAGTTATACAAAATTATCATATAACAATATTGAAAAAAAAAAAACATATTCTCCATTTGTTAGAGCAGTTATCTGCATTATGAGTAGTTCCGTCTTGGACACATATGACTATCAAATATTGTAGCTGTTTTTTTTAGATAAAGGTTAATAGGAATTATTTCTCACTTATTAATTTTCTCTGTTTTTCAGGTATCCACTACATATCTTGCAGTAATCTTAAAAATTATACAAAATAGTATCTTTATAAAATCAAATAAGCTTTAATTATTAAAAGTGTTTTTATTACTCTGTCAAAATAAAGAAATCAGCATTTTTGTGTTACAAAACAAGAATGGATGACAGTGATGTAATAATATCATCAACGGAGATTATAAAAGGTAAGTGAAAAATCTCATTTTGTATTAGAACATTTATCTTAGTTTAGCCAACTCTTCTCTTTCTTCAGAAAAAATGAAGTAACACAATGTGTTTTTAACTTAAAAAGATATAACAACCTCTTTAGCTGTAGCCTGTCAGATAGAAAATTGACTTTTCCATATTATCTCGAGTCAGGGTGTTGCCATACCTACGTTGTCTCAAATACTCTATAGTTTGGGTCTTTCGATACTCATCTTGGGAACTGAGTAATTATGTGATTTGTCTAGTATTTATTTATTTATTATATTATATTGTATAAAGTTTTCATTCACAATGCTATACTGAAAAATATTCTTAATGATAAATGCTTAAAAATTTCCACCAGCCCCAGGTACTCTCGAGTCGCTTCTCAGTCTACCAGGCTGGTGGAATTTTTAAGCATTTTTTATTAAGAATGTTACAAAGACATTATTCTCTGTTTCTAATAAATGATGTTAAAACTTGTGCTATGCAGATATGAAATGAGTTAAGCTTAAAGGAGGTTGACGTATAGAATTCCATACTTAAATAGGTTATCTTGCCTGCCTCATTTTTTAACGTTGAAAATGTGTACAATCACTAGTAATTTATTTGCTAGTTTTCCGATTCGTGAGAAAAAGCAAACAAATTCCATCCACAGACTATTTCTAGGTCTAACGATACGTGTCGCTATTCATAGAATGGAGTATTACTGCCTATAGTACGGGGTCATCAGCAATCTATAGCGCCCCGTACAACGAAACGCAGAACGAACTTTGCGAAAACGATACAGAGTTCAATGGTTGGCGATAGATATCGTTTAGTTTCAATTTTTTTATTTTTTTTTATTTATGTACAATGGGCTCACTCTTGACTTCAATCTAGCCTAAGAACAATGCTCGTAACATAATACTTTGGGTCACTGACTATTTTTTTTTTTAGGTTCTTGTTTCATATTGATTTTAATGCAAACTGAAAAAAAAATTATTATCAGTTAATAAATCGAAATCGAAACTTAGTACTGACACAACTCTTTCGATGGTTTAATTTGTTATAAAACTTATTTTTTTATTAAAAAACGGAATAGTATTTGGTCAATCAGAATTGCTAATGTGAGATCATTTTTGAAGAATAACCTACTGGGTACTGGACGCTTTCTATTTACCTGTTCAAAATCAGGGCGTGTTTCTAGTATATCACAAAGAGTTTTTTTTCTAACTTTATTAGTTTGTTTGTAAGCGATAGTCTTAGTAAATAATTAACCAATCCCATGATAGGTAATTTTAATATTTCCATAAATATTTTCACCTCCATATTTTCACATTTTCATTTACGCGGGCGAAGCAGCGAAAAAACGATTAGTTTTGTATAAAAAGGGCTCCATCTGAGTTCGTTAAAAAATTGACTGTTCTATGTTGTCTCATGTTTCAGTGGTCTAGTACCTTCAGTATTTTTTATGTTACCCCAGAGACTTCGGATATCTAACATCTGAGCGACATACCTTACCAAAAATGACACTCGTGAAAGTGGAAAAGCTGTACTTAACTATTACGACGAGCGCACATTGTATATGCCATACCATCTATGGCTGCCTTGTCTTGCTTTGCCTTTTCCTTTCCTGTTTGATTTCATACAGAGAAATTTGATGTTGATATAACCAAATGGCATAGGAAAGTAAAAATATGTGATTACGTTTATTTTGATATATAAACAAACCACTGATCTGATTTCGGACGAATTTTATAGAACCTACTTAGGAATAGAAACTTTCGGATGAAAATTAACTGACTAGTTGAAATAGTAATTGCACAACTCAAATTCATGAATTTTGCTGTATAAATTGTAATTTTAGATGCTCAATTGCGCATATAGGTATAATAGTACCTACCTATAGATGTAAGAGTCCACTGATCTGCATCGCAACATACTCAAAGCATTAAATATTGAGTGAATACAGACAGTAAATAACATCAACTTTATTTTACTTAATTGTTTAATATTAAAAAAAGGCAAACAGTCCAGTAAAGCCAGCTGTTGCCATAGAAATTTGTGGTTAAAAGTACTTTTTTAACAATTTTTTTTTTTTTAATTTTCGTTGAATCTGAGGATGTTGAATTAATAGGGATCCATGGTCAATAAAGAACTATCTGTCCTATTATAAAACGATATGTCCTATCTGCCTATTCACATTGCGAAAACAAGCAATTACGGATGTATACTTCGCGACCATCTTTTATATCTATAACCATAGATTATATTAAGAATGATTATGTCTAAGAGTTATGTTTGTGAGCATCACTGCATAAGCGTGAAGGCCACGACGCATTTAACCAATGATATAATAATACGCAATCGTCGTTCGCGTCTTATGTCGTTGTGGACAGTTGTCCCGTGCCTACGCAAATTCATTCATTGGGTGTTACATTGATTTCGAGGATGACAAGTTCTCTTTCGTATCGATCGATAAATGTCACAGTTGTAAGTACCAGGTGTATTCAATTACGTAATTTTGAACGTATTAGGAAAGCAGCATCACCAGCTTACCAATGTACCCGAAGCATAGGCCGTTATTGAAAAAACACAGGGATGACTGTAGGCCTACTGCATAAGTGTAATAATTACCTGCTGTATTATTGGATACAGTATTTACGTTCTATACAGTGTTGAACGTTGCGTGCGTTTTGTTTTGACGGATTCAATCAAAATGCCAACCGAATCGAAGCCATAGAGCCTAGTGACTTACTCTCGATTAATTGCCGAGCCGATGCTAACTTGCTTTCCAAATAACTGAGAACTTCGAGGTTCCATCTTAAATTGTTTTATTTTTTATTTTAAATGCCCAGCCAACATTTCTGGCCGAGCCCTACTCTGCCCCCCACTCATTAGCAGGTCTTTATCATTCTGTTTACTCTTCCATTCCAGTTCTATCATCTACGCTTCTTTCATGCTGCATACTTTTTCTTTCTTTCATTCCTTTCTCATTCATGCCTCGAGCGACTGGGATTGCCGCATCTACTACCTACTATTTATTCTTATTCTTACCTTATTTTTATTTTTTTTATTTATTACACGCCACATTTTCTCTTTATTGTTATTCTGTTACATGCTTTTTTACTTTTACTTATCCTATTATATTACTTATTTGATCTTAAATATTGGCCACCCATCTGATGATTGACCTTTGCGAAAGTCGCTTAGTCTCCGTAATCGTAGACCGAACGCTCTAACCAATAAACGGGGAGCTCCGGAGTAGCACATTTTAATTAGCTCCCATGATTTCCGACATCTTCGTCATACTTGAGCAAACACAAACATTTAATGAAAGGAATTAATTTGTCTATTAGTGAAAATCGCAAGATAGTCTGTTCTGGATTTTTTAAGTTTATCGCGTTGAAATAGATATATGCGACTGGTAATGTAATTTATAACATGTAAGGATTGTGTTATTCAATAACTCGATGCTCTTATGTTGAAATGAGCTCGATGGCACAGTGGTTAGCGCGTTTGTTATGTCGAGGTTAAACGATTTTTGCTTGGGCCGATTATAGGATCGACGACCCCCTTATTTGTTCCTGCTGCTCCAAAATGGTATCTGCAGCTGTTAGTTAACACCAAATATAACCCATTAAGGTCTGAAATGTGTCCCAGCAGTGATTAATAGCCTAATGATTCAATGACATGGTGTTACCAAAAAAAAATTAAGACTGATATGTGTTCACGAAACTTCTTTTCGAATAATAAACCATAAAGGCTTTATAAGTGTCACTTCTTTTGTACGGTAAATGAGGGTGGTATCAAAATCGTTCGCAAACTGTGTCAGGAAATCGATACTGTGCAAGCAGACACTTTGTACAAATAGAACGCGTTAGACGGCGTTAATCATTAGGAAGTAATTTATAAGTAAACGTTTCTTAGGGTTCCGTTTGTATCCAAAAATGCCTTGATCCTGTTAATATACATCCACTATCTGTCTTGTCTGTTATGCGGCAAAAAAACGTGGGCATGCCGATAAATGTTAGAATAACTATTTAAAAAAGGCATTTATGCAATGATAGATAGGGACAGAGAATGGCCAATAGGCCTGTGTCCTGCAAGTGAAAATGCAGGATTCAGTTAAATTTTCGGAATATATGAAGCATTTTAACTTATATATATTCAACAAAATAAATTTAATGACACGAATTTGCAGAAAATTACGCTTCGAAAACTTGAAAAAGTAGGAAAAATATTCTACAAAAATTTATGGTATATAAAAAATTATAAATAAATATATATGGCATTAAATTAGTTATATAAAACGTAATAACTAATAACTTTCATTAAAATAACTATAAACATAAACGCACAAATAACAAAAATATTACAAAAATCAGACGTAGGTACATTACGTTTTTCGCTACTGTAGCACCGTATATCGCCTTGAGTTTTTATGGAGCGTATTCGGCCGACTAGCAACAATTTCACTAACAGCACGATATTACCAAAACTATTAATCGCAGACATGCTATTACTCTACATTATTTCTCAAATATTAATGGACTATTTATTTATAAAATAAAAAAAGTTCTCTACTAGCGTATAACTCGTCGAAAATGTTTTTTAATTAACTCGCCAACTATTATGTTTGTCATAAAATTGTGCATATTCCCTCGGATATAAAGTGACTCACAGGTACAAAAAAAGGTTTTTCCGCAAAAAAAGTTACGACAGGGGTGTTGAAAATGGCCGTGCTATTTTACTTGACTTGGCAAGGCAATACTTGGCAGAAAATATTTTGTACAATGTTATAGTGTTAAATCTTAATAACTTTATATTAGGTATCAAAATCATCACCAACCTATTAGTGTCCCCGTTGCGGGGGAACAAGCTTTTCCTCGGGATGGAATCGAATCGAAGGAATAAGCCATAACACAACATTTGGGCCCAGTGCGGATTGTTGGGTGTTAACGACTGCAGATGCAGCCGAGACCAACAGCTTTACGTGCTTTCCGAAACAAGCAAAACCTCGAGATAGTAAATTATTGGTCACCCGTCTTATTACTGACCATTGCGAATGTTGGTTAACCTCCACATCGCAGATCGAATTCCGTCAACATTACATGAAGTTGTAAAATAATTCTGAACATAATAAATAACTGTAGTAAACTCATGATAAGCTTAGTGCTTGCGTCCCTACGTACAGCGACATTGGTCAGGCTTCATTCTTATGTCGAGTGTTCACGGGCTATATGTATGTACGTGAGTAATATTTTTGGAACTATACAGGTGAACTATGTATGATGTTATAATTTTCGGGATTTGTACTAAATAACGCTCACCTGATAATTATAATTTTATATCAAAACCTTTAAAAATATTAATAATATCAAAATAAGGAAAGAATTTTGATCGATAGAAAATATTACCTCTGAAATATACTAAAATACCATTGAATCTCATAATATACTGTACAAATTTCAATGAAGATCCATCTTTGGTCATAATGAAATGACTGTCAAATTCATTGAGTTTATTTTAATATTTTCCGTATTATTAAAGCCTTCTAATGATTTTTCACACAATGTTTTATTGAATACTTTTTTGGATCAAAGATAAAAGATATATCTTTATTCCTTAAGTATTAAGGTGAATTCCAACATAAAAACTAGACACATTAACGGTCAGCAAATAGAACGTTGGCATTGCATGAAATAATATTCACCTAGCCAAACATAAATCATTCGCAGTTTCCCCAAGTTTATGTTAACGGCGGCTTTGTAACACAATCTCGGAGCAGCTTGGGACATTTAATAATGTAAAGTTACTTTTGCACTCAGTTTCCGATAGTCATGAAAGTCATGAGTCTGAAAAAATATAAACGATAAGAAAATTACGTATGATCAATATCGTATGTAATTTATCTAATTTATAGGAAATCGCTTCAAGCAGTATGCGATTGAACCCTAATCGATTTGCAACCGCGAGCACTCGATTAAGTTCCTTCAGTGCTGAAATAACTTTAGTTCCACCTGTATAACTTCAATCGTCATGCAATAGAGGCGCGGCTCCAGTGTCAGCGTGACCTTGGTTATATAAGTGTATGCAAACGCGGGGCGTGGTCCAAGGGCGAGCGAAGCCGTGACACTCATTCATTTCGGTACTAGTGCCGAATTGAAGGACAAAGAACAGTTCCCGCCCACTAGTATTTGTACTAGATCGTTTGCGTGTGGAGTAAACTAATAACATGTCAATAGGTGCTCTGTCACGAATGAAATGTTTACGAAGAAATATTATTTGTTTTTGCGACATAAACTACGAAATTGTTCAAATCCAACCCATAGTTATCTATAAAGTATGAAAGTACTCCACTAGCACTGATGGGAAATTCACTCAAATAAATTTGCCCAAATCATATTATGTTTGTTTGTTACGCAAAATATTAAACAAATTGTAATGGAATTCGGTATGCGGACAATTCTAAGCCTAAATTAACATACATGCTACTAAACGGTTCCCTAAGGACCTAGCTAGTATTTGATAATCCTCAAAATCTTATATTTTACACCCACCTAAATGCACTGCAACGTTGTGGCAATTTAACCACTTAAAGCAAACGTGCACGCCAAAGGGTGGAATGCATCATTTAAAGTTCAAGGATTTTGAATTGATGATATCCGCATTTACCTTAGCAGTTAGTATTATGTTTGACCTTTTCACTATACGAAGTGGCCTGTAAGTGAAAGTAAAAATAGAAAAGTATGGCCTTTGCATCTTAAGATCGCTGTTAAGTAGGTCCAATAACAATTATTCGTCCAAAGTGAACTTCTGTACTTAGTGAAGTAATATAACCCTGATGCTGAATAAAACTTCGTTCAAATTTTGATATGAGTTTTGTTAATGGAATCAGCGAACTTTAACGTTTTGAATATCATATGATAACTGCTCAAAGTTGTATATTGGTTTCAAATTCTGAGTCAGACATTAATGTCACCGTGTACAATGCAAAAAGTCTAGACATATGCTCAGTTTACTGTACAAAGTCATGCGACATGCTGACCCTAGCTGATTTTTATTCATGAATACAATTTGAAGTGAATTATCCTATTAAAAAGTACAATTTTATTGCGGTGATATTGTGCGTGCCGACATCAGAACTTTATGGTTTCTGATAACTTTTGGATACGACTGCTATTAATATAATTCATATGCTTAAATGGGAGTGTGGTTCTTCTGTTTGGAAAGGTTTATTTTTGGTTTTACTCTTTTAATTTGACATCTGAAAGATATTCACAAACTTCATGCTACAACTTTTTGACATATGATAGCGGTTATGAACGCGACATTTCTTGGAAGATATTGAATGAATTATATCGTTAATTTAAAGTTACTTAGAATATTTTTTTTGACAGACGTTAGACGCAAATATCTTTGAAAAGTATGGAACAATGTCAAATAAAATGCTATCTTTCGACGGGTTTAGGTAATTTTTTATTACGTTTCTTAATAATTTATACCGGCATTCCTTCTTCAAGCAATTGTGACTTTAAAAGTTACATAATTCCATAAATCGTAATTATAATAGCAATACTTTTAAAAGGGGTTACGATAGATTTTGATAAAAAAGATTAATTAGCCCACAGGGTCGCGTTTTCTATTCGTAATAAAATTAAGTGTCGATCTCTACTTCGGGCATACTGATATTTACAGAATAGAGGTTCGATGAAATAGAAAATTTATTGCTTTTTGGATTAATTTGATTGGACTTCTTTGCTGTGACAGCGCTGTGCTTGACGTTGAGTTCTAAAGAATAGCACTGCAGATCATTAGTTTGAATTCAATCATTAGTTTGGATAGAGTATTTAAAGTTTAATTCAATATTTTCCTTTTCCCAGACAGACTGTACTTTGCTACTCTAAAGACCGGCTACAAACCGAAACCAACGAGAAACAGCAAATATTTCCACATAGAGGATGACATTGTTTACGAGAACTTCTATTTCGATTTCGGACCTTATCATCTATGCCACTTGTATCAGTTTTGTAAGAAACTCAACGAGGAATTGGAAAAGAATCCTAGGAAGAAGATCGTTTTCTACACAAGCAATAATGAGACGCTCAGACTCAACGCAGCTTATCTTATTGGCAGCTATCAGGTAATATCATCATCACCAGACTATTAATGACCCCACTGCTGGGATTCAGGCTTTCTCTATGGGCTATGACCCACCACACGTACTGCCCAGTTGGTGAGTATTAACAACTACAGATGCTGCACGGAGGATGGTTAAAGGGATTTTTGTTACCATTATATGACATTACACACGTAATTACAATCACATAGTGGTTCCAACGTGGTGTTCAAAAGGTACTCACTTGACGTGCTACAGGTAACTGCAGTGTCGATATTCAGCTGTCACGTGGTGACGCTCCGCTTGTGCAACGTGAAAAAGTAACAACAATCAAAATATGTAATGGATTTGAATAAATAAACACTTCCAGTGAATTTATTTACAAAATTTCTCATGGCTTGTTGTGGCTTCATTATTTTCAGTCACGGTTTCATATTGAGGCGCATTAACTGTAGAATTGATACAAGTTCAGTACGTTTTATGTCGTAAAAACATTGTCGTGTAAACATATTTTATGAAATGTATATACAAAGTGCCACGTGCAAGCAATCACTTAACGATTTTATCACCTATGTCTATTGACGTTCATACATACATACAATGCAATGCCGTTTCGGACAGTGCCTCCGATGCGATACGGCAGTTCTGCCGATGGACCGTGAAGGTTCTGTGTGCTAAGAGGAATAATCATGTCAATCCATATTTATAAAAATAGCGGGGCCTAGTGTAGATTGGAAGGTGTTATGCAAATGCAGGCAGGGTCAACTGCTGAACGTGCCTTCCGAAGCACGGAGGAGCTCGAGATGATAATTTTTTGGTCATCCATTGTATGATCGGCCCTTGATTACGAGAGTTGCTTAACTTTCCTATGGCAGACTGAACGCGATAATCACTGCATCGTCGATCTCGGGGTACAAAGTACCTTTTAATAAAACTTTGTTAGGTAAATGTCGTCGGTGTTATCTGAATCAGTGGTGTTTAACCATTTTTATTGGTGCCAAATTTATTTAAAGCACACTCTAACTAATTTATTTATTTATCAGTGCTATAAAATAAAAAAAGTTCGTGGCTTGAACAACGTATTTTCAAAATTCTCACATCACCGACCCGATTTTGAATAGCGAGTTAGCGACCCAAGGTTAGAGACCCTGATCTAAACAAGGCCTCAATTCAGATGACGTTACCGTAAGAATCTCATTTCAATTACTCCCTTTTTGACACACGCAGTTCTGCGAGAACATTGGTGTCTCGCAGACAACAATGTTTTATTGTTAATTTTGTAATTGTGATATATATTTATCTATACGCATTAATTTATCAAGACGCCATCATAAATTGATAATACATTGGCCAAGTTCAATTAATTAACGCCACTAAGATGCCATTATCACGTTATTATATCACTTGAGCCCCATTGAGCATCCCAGATGTCCATCAAGTGATCGATCCATTTAGACCTTGGATGTTAATCAAACTATGTTGTACAAACGAGGCGTGGGAGCTCTGTAGCTATTAAAACTGTAACTGAATACCTAGTGGAACGCAATTGGTCCGTTTTAAGTGGCCCTTCGCTACCTTTTCAAGCAAGAGACAATGGAGGACATTAGAATAGTTCGTTCTATTTATTAAGATATTCATAACACTGATAGATATGCCGTGCCGTGTTATGCACGTGTGACTAAAGTTTGGTGTAGGAAAATAAGTATTTTTGGTAAAAAAATTCAAAGGTGGGCTCTATTACAACGCGGTCTTTAAAGGTAACTACCTTACCAGTAACTTGCCACGCGGGCTCAACACGGGTTGGTGGTTGTTAGCTCGATATAAATATATTTTTGGACCTTTGCGAAAATTTCTTAATATACTACGTTGCAATTCAAATGCTCTAGTCGTTGAGCCATTAAGCTCTTTATACATATAAGTATAGCAATCAGTCGAAATACGTTGATATACGAACTAAGCTCTGTTGCTAGAAGATTGAACATAAGCCCTACATGTATAGTAAATCAAATCACCCTTACGTTTATACATTCATCATCATCAGCCCTTTTACGTCCCCACTGCAGGGGCTCAGGTCTTCCTTATGGATGGTTAAGGAGGTTGGGCCATGACCCTCCACGCTGGCCCAATGCGGATTGGAGGGTATTCACGACTGCGAATGCAGCCGGGACCAACGGCTTAACGTGCCTTCCGAAGCACGGAGTAGCTCGAGATAATTGGTCACCCATCCCGTGACCGACCCTTGTGAAAGTTGCTTAACGACTACGATCGCGGGCCGCGGCGCTTATCCACTACGCCACCGAGCTACTCGTACTTATACATTCATATTTTTCCAAATATACATAATACCCAAATACTATGCAAATTTAAGCTCGCGTGCGGTCTGTGATGGATTTAATAACATTTCTTTTTGTCGTAATTTTCTGTTATGATGTTGATACGTATTTATTAAAATTTTAATAAGCATAATTCGCTAGAACTTACCTCTATATCTGTAAAGTATCGCGGGCCATGTCAAGAGGAAAACAGGTAGTGTATGAATATACCGATTTGGTTGCTTTTTTATTTAAAATCGCTAAGGCTAGAAGCAGAAAAACAAACATTTTTGTTAATAAAAATAAAACATAGACCATTGACATAAAATATTGTCTCTATATTTATTGTATTGTATTTTAATAAAATAGCAAGGGTAGTTTAATAAATAATAATATTAATATAAAATTACATTATAAGAAACAAAAGTCACAAGGCAAAAGTAAGCCTTTGTACGCGTGCTACACAAATCAGGGTTGCCATTTTATAAATAAAAAAGCCTGCGTTTGTATTACACCGGACATTTTGGCCTAAAACCCGGATCTTTAATAGACAAAAATCACTTTCTAAAACTTAATTTTATAACCATAAAATACCTGTAACAAGTCAAAGATGTTTGTTATTTATATATTAACTAGTTAAGCATTTAAGCAAAAAAAAAAAAAAAAAAGCAAAGCCTAGCGGCACCGGCTGGACATATAAATATACTTATACTCAAGTCGGACACGCTCATAAAAAGTCTTAGATGGCAACACTACATACGACTTATGTTGGTTTGTAGATCGCGAGCTAATAAATAAGATTTGTGAATTCAGGACTATTGCAAAGCTAGTGCGTTACCGTTTCTAGTTTCTCTCACATGGTCTACATAACTAAAATCATATTTCTGATTATCGAGCCTAACTTCAATGACTACCTATCTCCCGTAGAAGAGAGACACATATCACATTACCTTAAGGAGCGTTTAGTCTTGCACTCTTATAATACTATCCGAGATCTGCGGTATTCCTATAACTTGTCTTTAGTTAACCCCCCCCCCTACAATACTGATTTCTGCTAAGGAATGCAATCTTGAAATCCTGGCCATTTTTAGCGATATTGATCTCGTTCGAAAAATGGGCAAGATCTCGCGAGTTTATCGAGATTGCCCTCGAGCATAAAAACGATTTATTCGAAGTGCGGCAGCGCGAATTTACCTTACCTTACTTACCTAACGCCCAATGCAGGACCTCAGGCCTTCCTTACGGATGGCTAAAGTAGATTCTTTAGCCATGATGGTCTAAAGGTCTGATGATGATGATTAAATTTTTGCACAGGCCTTTTTCCGAAAAACCACTACTCGCCACGACTCTAAAATGTAAAATCTAATTTAAATGTCAAAATTATTTTAAACATAACCCTTTTCCATATAAATCGCTTATTAGTAAATGTAAATTTACAGATAATCTACCTAAATGGCAGCCCTTCGGCAGTATACAAGCAGTTAACTGAAGGTTCGGAATGGTCTCTTTTAAACTTCAGAGATGCTTCTGGGGGGCCACCTTTATTCGACATCTCACTTTTGGACGTGTTACACGGCATGAAGGTAGCCCACGACGCCCGCTTCTTTGACTTCGAACATTTCGACGCGGAACAGTACTTGTTTTATGAGGTAAGTATCTCGCTAATCATAGTGATAAGGATAATTTTCTCTTCGATTTATTTTTATAAGAATCGAAAACTATATCGTATCTAATCGTATCTAACCACGTCAATGTCAAAGTGACAACTCAGAGATAGGGAGGCCCGTAATGCAATCGATGGCTAGTGATGCCCGTAGTTGTCGATATTTTCTCACCAACAGTTGGCAAAACATTTCGATGTCCTACGGGCTGGACTGAGGTCATGACTGAATTATTTATATATATATATATATCCCTAATCCCTATTTCCCTTGGTCACGCCAACGCTCGTGAACGGCTGATCCTATCTCTAACTCTATCGCTAATTCTTTTTTTGTGTGTTTGTTATTATCAGTATAAAATTATAACCATAACCACCATATAAAATTATTTCTAATATAACCTTTGTGCTTTGGACAATATAAACTATTTGAATGTATCCTTATGTCGTTTGACATAGAATTGACAGAATACGTGCTGCAAATATCTTAAAAAAGGATGTAAAAATACTGTTCGAAATAAATATTCATAATTAAGAAAGGATAATATCTGTCGGGTCAGCTAGTTATCAGTAAAAAAAGGTTACAATCTACAAGTTTCTACAGTCAATTTTGAACTTGACTGAACGGATGAAAGCTTAAAATCTATTAAAGTTCAATAAGTTCACAAAAAATGACAAAATCTCGCTCTCCATTCTAAACTACTAGGTTTATACAACCTGATGTGTTAGTTGTACACAAATGTTGTAAAATGTAAAGGACAATTAAATAAAGGTTTCTTATTTGTCAGAAAGTGGAGAACGGTGATTTGAACTGGATAGTGCCAGGCAAGATGGTCGCGTTCTCAGGCCCCCATCACAGATCACGGCTGGACCGCGGCTATCCTCTACATAGCCCCGAGCACTACCATCAGTATTTCCGTACCCATCATGTAACCACCATAGTGCGACTCAACAAGAAGTCCTACGATGCCAGGTCGGTACATACTAGTGGGGCTACTAGTGTATCGTGACGCTTAGACTTTGCCATGAATTTAGCATGCGAAGGATTCATTTAATTTTCTGTGGACTCGATAATATAATTAAGGTAATATTTGTCTACAGGCAGTTCACGTCACATGGATTCGAACACAGGGAGCTGTTCTTTGTGGATGGATCGGTTCCGTCAGATCTGATAGTGAACAGGTTTATCAGGATATCGGAGGCAGCTAAGGGTGCGGTCGCTGTGCATTGCAAAGGTTAGTCTTTTGACGATACAAAAAATCCTGACAATAGCTTACCACCCGTGTATTTTAGTTTTAAAATTTCCGCAATTAAATTATGAACTTTATTGTAAATGTACTGAGGTTTAAAGTCGATTTTGATAGTTTTGTATAGTCTGACATGCTTATGGCTGTATTAAGAAAAGTTGTGTACCAAACGACTACGTGAGTTCCTTTTATCATTATTACAGTTATTGTGATAAAGAGATCTTCAAATTTCTATTTGATACCACGATAGAGTTGACAACACATATCACTTACACAATAATATACAATACAAATTTACAAAAACAATGTATAAAAGATATATTTAAAGTGGTGCGTTGCCAAGCTGACCTCAAATCAGTTTGGCAGTGAGTCCACTGCGCTGGTATTCTGTTGAGGGCGACGGAGATAGCACAAACATAATAAAAAAACGCTCCTAAGCTTATAAAAGTTAGGCTGTACGGACTATATATCCCTTGGCCTTAAATAAAATAACTATCATAAACGAATATTATTGATCCATGTTATTACAAAATGAGTTATTACAAGATACTGTTTTTACTTTCAATACATTGGATTGAATCATATGAACTTAACATTCAATACAGTACGTTGAGTGCATTTAGATTAAATCCGATATAAACCAATTCAAAGACAATAATGTTACACGGTAGGCCTTCTCCTCGAACGGTTGTCAGCCGTCATGGTTATAATTAACAGCGTCATCGTTAGGCTCTTAATGTCATCCCTACTGGTGGATGGAATAAAATAAAAAGTACACTCCATAATCCACCATGCGCGCACTGTACGAATATTAACGACTACAGATGTAGCCGGAACCAACGTGCATTCGTAACGTGCCTTTCCAAGCACGGAGGAGCTCGAGATAATAAATTTTTAGTCACCCATCCTATGGCCGGCCCTTGTCAGTTACTTACCCTACGCATCGCAGACAGAACACATTAACGACTACGCTATCAAGATCCTCATCATCGATTATAATAGGAACAATGTATTGCAGCGGGATTGGGTCGCACGGGTACTTTGATCGCGTGTTACATGATGAAGCATCACGGGTTCACTGCGCGGGAGGCGATCGCCTGGCTGAGGGTGTGTCGTCCAGGATCTGTCATCGGACACCAACAGTGGTTCCTTGAGAAGTGAGTGCTGGAAACAGTAATATTCGGGGGCCTACTTACAAGTCGTTTGCTACGCTACGAATTGACCCTCTAAACGACGTCATAGGCACATCGACTGGTACCGTCGACAAATAAATAATAATAGTTTTAAACTCTGCTTCACTTATTAGTTAAAGGCAAGTTAGAAGTTATTATTTTTCGTATTTATTTTAAAACGGATTTATGACACCACAAAAATAATAATTCATAAAAAAAAAGAAGTGATAATATCGTTCGGCAGAGACTGCGTTGCTAGTGGTACTAATAGGGTCTGTCTGGAGCAAGTCCAGCTACTTACCTTGGAAAGTTGACAAAAAATTCTGATTTGAACTAATTCAAAATGGGGACTGTAGCATATTACGCGTGCAAGTGGTGCGGGCACTCTATCATTAGCCGTCGCGGTAAGCACACGTGTCAGCTGTACGATATAGTCGTGCAATTTATAGTAACTGTAGTGTAGGAGATATCGAGTATTCTACAAGCACTAGGTGTTCATTGACTGTAGTTGACTAAATAATAAAATTTTGAAATTTTATTATTGAATATATTTCATATGTAAATCCACGGCTCTCTGGTTAAAGCTAATACCTTGATGATATGATCGATGTAAAACTTCTTGAGATTGTTCTGCTTGTCAACCATGGACATCCTAAATGAGTGGCAGGGAAAATAATTTTGGACGATTCAAAAGTAATAAGCTAATTGGAATAAAAAAAAAAATCATAGCGCTTATTACATATTAATTGAAAATGGGGATTTTTAAATTGATATTGGATGAAAATGTATTATTTGGGAATGTAAAAATTATAAAGAAAGAGGTATAGTAATTTAATGTATAAATTTTATATTTATTAATATTTTAACAATGATTTTAATATGTAACAATCATATTGTAAGTATTATTTGATTTCCTAACAGTATAGCATTTCAATTATTTTAGCATTCAGCCCAGAATGCACGCGGAAGGCGAAGCGTACAGGCGTCGACACAATATCACAGGGTTTCCGGTGTTCACTCGTGGCATATACAGCGTTCTACCACCAGAGCCCAAACCGGTTGAGGAGAAACCGGTGTCGCTACAAACGATTCTCACCAATAACAAGAATACGAATAAGGTACATAATAGTAATATGCAACATATTTTGACCTTTTTGCAGTTAACGGTATAGTTAACAGATAAAATTTGCTATACTATCCATTATAATACTATAAATATGTTGTACTATAATGATAATACGTTAAATATAATTTATTTTAAATATAACGTGTCCTGAACGCACCTTAGTAGCGCCACTTTGCGAATCATTTTTGTAACTTTTCTATGCTCTGTCTTCTAATAAAATGGGGTATGCAAATTGTGTCTCATTTATATAAAAGTACCAACAATAAATAATAATTTTTCTATCATATTGGTTATACACAGAATCACAAACGTAGTTTAACAGTAAATTAAGTCTAGTTTGTGCCTACGGATATGCACCATTCAGTTCAATTAGCGTTCAAATCAGTAATGTCCCTTTCAGATAGTATTAAAAAAACGCTTATACAATTATATTTAAAACACATTATCATATGTGAATCCTTTTATGATTTCTATTTTATTTTCATATAGTTGGATAACGCGAACGTTCTCAACGCAAACGAGACAGATTATGAAAACAACGTGACGTCAGTCATCGGGAAATATAAGACAACACCTACTCCAATGTTACCTAAGACTTTCACGCCGAAACTTAACTATATGTTGCCAACTAACAATATAAGAAACGCTGGCAACACTAATCTAAGACCACAGGCGCGTACTATGAACGCCGCGTTGAAAACTTACGCTGCCAAAACGTCCACATTCCCGCCAACAAGAAGTGCCAACACGCAGGCCAGTAAGATGGCAGGCGCCAAACCATTTACAGGTGAGTTTTGGAATATGGTCACTATCATATTTATTAGTTTGAGTTTGAGAGTTGACACTTAATTATTAAAGTCTTTACTATTGAGTAGTTATTGACAATATAGGTTTTATTGAATTGAAGCTAAAGAATTACAATAGAGGATGTGTTGTTTAGTTTTCTTATTCAACTATTAACGAATCAAATGAAATCGTGAAATGGCAGGCGTTAAATCAGATTTACACAATAATTTAATAATCTTTATTACTGTACCCAATAGTAACAAAATCCAATAGCCAATAGCCAATAATAACAGTATATTAACAATCTCAATAGTTACATACCAATCAGTAAATTGAAACTTATAAAATAACTCTTAATCGTAAGATGTAAAGAATAATATAGATATGAAAGTTCATTAGTAGTTTTGCCGATAGTACATTAACGTTGTCTCCGTGCAGGTAAAAGTAGCTTCCACGGTCAGCGCGCCAATCTGGCGCGGCCCGCTCTAGGTTACACACATGGCAACAGTCCCCTTAAGGGTTACGTTCGTAAAACTGTCGCGAAACTTCCCTCACACGACAACTCGAACGTCACATCCACACTATCCGCTCTAACCGAGAACTGTCACTTAAACGGTAAAAACCGTCTACCCTCCGAACCTAACCTCAAAACGGCTGTCTCGAAACCCGCCGCCAACCCCGTCCGCAAGAAGCTAGTCGTTCGCTCCGATTCCGGTTCCCGCAAAAAACTACCTAAATCCAAAACGTCAAAGACCGATTTAGAATCTGCGCAAGATTTATCGTCGAGCGATACGAACGTAACCAACGTGTCGGCGGACTCTCTGGAGACTCCGTTTAGGTTTCGACGAAAAAGGGACAAGTCGAACAGTCCAGAACCGATGGACTGTATTTCTAACACTGCAGTCGCCGCGGAAGTCGCTCCTGAAGATTACGAAGAGGCGAACGACTCGCAGGGCAACAAGTTATACAAGATCAAAGCTTTGAGGAAGAAGTGTCCTGCTTTCGGTGTCAGCATGCTAAAGAAAGACGGCATACAGACTAGGTCGAGTAGCTGCACCGGTAATTCGACGGTTAAAAAGAAATGATCTATGTGAAGTACACACACGTCTTGGTACGTTTGCACATATAATAGAGATTTTTATTAATAATAATAATAATGTGCGTAGCACACTTGACGCGTTTGTTTAGACGCTCTAATGCATTGATTTCTTTTTTTTTTTTAAGTAATCGACTGAACTCTCCTATGAAATTCCATATCAAGTAACGTGTTATAAAGTCGATTGTTGTCTAAACGAATGTGTCGATGTTTTAGTGGTGTTAGTCGATGTCGTGAACCCCTTTGAAAAAACAGCCTAAATGTTTTGTAATCTCATTAGGTAGCGGTTTGTAATTTTTGTGAGAATTTTTTTACATATTTTATATCCTGTATGTGTTAGCATCACATTTACAATTTTTTATTTTATTTTATTCTTTAACAATATTTTTTATAAGTGCGTAATCTAAAAAGAAAAGCGTGTAAGGACATTTTTCGTTACATATTACCCCATAAACACAATGTATAAATTTATTTATGATATATAAATTGTACTGACATCTTTAAAAAGTCATTAATGGACTTTGTTTCTATCTTTCCCTTTTATTTAATTACTTTAAATATTTTCAATATTTTAAATCATTTGTTTTTGTATTATAATGTGATGTTAATATGTTCAGTGTATATTGTATGTACAGATCGATTGATTGCCTAGAGAGTTCTCTATAAAATAGTATTAATAATAATATTTTTATTTAGTAATAGTACATTTACGCGTGCAATCAAATATTAAATATATTGTGTACTACTTAAGTTGTGTGCATCTGTATCATTGTAAAGTTCATAAATAAATGCTATATCTGTGTCAGACAGTCAATCGATCATATTTGTATATAGATATAAGGAGAAATATTTTTATAATTTTAATAAATTACTAAGTGATTTATGAGAATGCCATTTTTCCTTTTGGGCTTTTATTGAGCTTCTTTTTAAGGATATCGATTTATTATTATGTTGAAACTTTATTGTTTTATGATTTATTGTTCATTTAATAACTAATTAATTAGTGGGCAGCTATCCGTTCGCCGACGCTGAGCGAATAAGAGCGTAAAACTAGAAAGTGTGACACTTTTTATTGCGCTAGTGTATTTTCTGAAGTCTACATTAGCTTATTTGAAAGACTAAACAAAATATTTCAAAAATTGCTTGTTACAACGTTAAAATCTAGATTAGACGAGGCTTATACGAATCTTGTGACGTCAAAATATAAATATACCGTAAGCACCGCGTAAATAGGAGCGACAAGTATAAACGAATGTGCCTAGTCCAACCCCACAAACTTTGGAAGCTAATTATAATTTATTAATTAACAAAACTTTTTTTTTATTCTCTGTTGTTTGCTAAAGGTCATAGGTTCGAGTCCCATCCCAGAGAGTCAGCAACAAAGTTTATATAAAACTCATTTGTTCATACGTCAAACTAGTTAAGAGATCGTTGTCGCTGCTAGTGTGAATGGTTGGCAAATCATGTTTATAATTAATAATATAAACTTGTTAAATAAATAAAAATAAAATCCCTATTAATCGTTCCCTCGCCGACCAACGGGTAACTGCCAAACATAATCAAAAATAACTCATCGAGATTAAATGTCTATTGTTAAAAAAAAAAAAAAAGATTTGTTTTATTCATGGTATATTTGATGTTGTCAATTTTAAACTCTGCTACTGAAAGATTTGAGACTTAGAATCGAACCATAAGTTCACGTTCAAGTTCGAAGTGCTGCCGATTGTACGTTAGATAAAAATATGTTGTTTTTTTGCCTAGTTTTAAATATGTGATTAATTTGAGGCTTAATTTTAATAGCAAACAAATTTCATAACTTTATATATATGATGTAACAACAACTTACGCTTCCGGAAACATATGTAGGTAGATGATATATTATTTTAATGGCAGCTAAGGTTCAGTAGTCATCTTAATTCAATATGAATGAATTCAATTTTCTACTGAAGTCTTCCAATTTACAACAAGTATTGGATTATATATGTATGTTATTCGTTTTTATTTTCTGATTAGATTAGTGCATTATGTCTCAAATCTGTTTAATGACGTCACGGGATATTTTTGAATTTCAACAATCTACTTTCATAGTTGTAAGTGTTTACAATTAATTATATTTTGTTTAAATTGTGTCACAAAATCCAGTTTTGGTACCAGTTTTATAAAGAATGATGATTTTAGTTATGTGTATTTGTGTTGTCTTGTTTTTTATATTTTTTATGAGATTTAATTACTAAAGTCTATAAAAGATTACGAAACTTCCATCCAGGTTACGGTTTTTTTTGGGAACTTAAATATTTGTTAATTAGGCATTTCGGTTGTTGTAGCAGTTAATTTTTTTATTTACTGTAAAAGATTTTTTGCCGACTCTACTGTTACTTATTTGGTCTACTTTCAAAACTTGCTTAAACATTTATTGTGAAATATCGAACCGCTGAAAGATTTTATTCATATTTTATTATTGAACAAAGTTTGCAAAAAAATAATATCCGTGCGTTAGTTTAGAATTTAATTAGTGAGTTTTGATGCAAACTTGTTGGTGAATTTAAAAAAAGAAAAGCTTAATGTATATGTACTTTAAAAGTTGTGACTATAAAAATGTTTTGGCGTGTTTTGAAAATGAACCCCTCATTAATTATTCCTTTGGGTGTTACGTATCGAGCGTTTTCTGAATAGTACGAATTTACAGTGTCATATCAGATTTTGTACGTGCGCGAGTGCTCATTGTACAATGACTTTAGATCGGCTATGCTATTCTGTTAAAAAACAGCTACCGCCTCGACGTCGAGCTCAGCGTTGTCATAGTCTATAGCCTCAATTAGATGAAACTTTACTACCTTTTCAAATAAGTTTTATTTGATTGAATCTCTACGCTGTATCAGTGCTACCCTCGTCGTCGTGTTCTAGACTGTTTTTATAACAGTAGCACTGCTGCTATGGATGTTGTGAAGACTGTTGTCTATGCCATTTTTAATGTAAAGTTGTTACTGTTTTTCTAATATTGTATTAGCGAGTTTGTATATGGTTATAATGTATTCAGTTACTCAGCTATGATTAAAAGCTATCGAGGTGTGATATAAACATTAAAAGCGCTGCGCAGGCACTAATATTGATAATGACAGCGGTGTCTGCTTTCGCCTCCGCTAGACGACACTATTGTAATTGTAGGTCGATCGTCAAACAATACGGGTGTAGACAGTAAACGAAAATAAATATATTGTTTTTTATTTTCTGATAATGTTTTATATAATTTCAACGATAATCACACTTGTGTGCTTATTATATTTTTAATATTACTTAAATCAATTATTAATAAACAAGTATTTTATACTCGTTTCAAACTTATTGTTAGAGGATCCAACCTTATGCGTACATAGAACGATATTAGTTTCAGAGGGCCGTGACGTCATAGCGATACAATGACAGAAGTGGCGTATTCGTTGGAAACCATGAAAATTAAATTTATTTTTACATTTTAACTTACTATATGAATGATATTTTTTTAAATAATTTTTCAAGATATATTTCATCTATAAATTAAAAATATAAATAAGTTGTCTACACCCCTATTAGCGCCAATCAAAAATTGGTAACCACGTAATTTTGGCAAAAAAAAAATGGTGGAAAATATGATCGGTAAAGAAAATAAAAATAGATTGAGAAATAAATCAAGAAGTAGTAAATGGTAAAAATATCGATTTCATTTTTAATGCATTATTTATGACCTTGGTTATTAACGTTAGACGTCAAATAATTTTTCAATTTATTGAAGCGTAACTCATACTTAAAACAAAAAAATGAGCTTTGAGAATTAAAAATGATTTTTCGAAGTAAATAACTAAGTAACCCGATAGAAGCTGACGTGGACGTGAATCTAACCAATGCCATGTATTTTTAACTTATAAAAACTTCTTTCTGACGTCATATAATTTCAAGGAACGCAGTGCTTCCATTATCAAGTGTCGACGATCGGCAACTATTACCGATTGCCATTATGAGTAAAATGAAAACGAGCAATACTACAGAAAAGAAATGTGAAAATGGAACATGAAAAGTGTCCGAAACGTCAATAAAACTCAAAACAAACGCGATGAAACCGTTTAAGAGTTGTTTCATTTATGGATAGTGCGCGTGAAAATATAAGAAATCAATATGAGCAGTACTACATTTCTGCAATAACAACTGATGAATTTGATGCAGGTCTTCATTGTAACCAAGTTGCCCGTTTTCACACAGACTATTAACAATGATTTTCTAACAGTATATTTAGGTAATTTTTTGAATCAACTGAAATTGTTGCGTCTGCGCAGCGCCTAAGTGTTGGTACGGCCTTCATCGGAAATATTGTTTTATGAACTAGCTACCTAAACGTTTTATTGTTCTTGAATGTCTAGCTATTTTCGTATTTGTGTAACTGTTTACAAAAATATTAGTTCCTTATCTGTAGTGTGTAAAAGAATTTACATGAATTATTGCGAGTAGAATTGTCTAAAACTGTTAAAATGCTAATTTAAAAATCAAATTGTAAGCACCCCACATATTGATATAAATTAATTTACAATGGATTACAATGTAGATATAAATAATGCATATCGCCCATGAAGAGTCAATAAATAATAACTGATAATTTGTCAATTTTTGTTTTATTGAATTATTCGTTGTAAAATAGATTACTACACAATAATGACAAAGATTTTGGGTTCGTTTCTTATTTTTTTGTAAGATAAACAATAATTACAATGTACTGAAAAAACTAATATAATAGATTTGAAACGTTTTTTTCGTCTCTTTTCGTCTCCTTTCGTTTCGTTGCATTTTTGCAGTTATTATTTATTGACTCTTCATAGACGATATGTAACTAAGGTTGTTTTATGGAATAATTTTTGTTATCAACTTAATATATAGAAAACATAATCCTAATTTAGGATTAAATCAATCTCATTTATTTAGTCTAGGCTGTTACCAGCGTTTGCGAAATAGTATGCCATCCGTTTATAAGGGTCGGTGTAAATCTGACGGAATATCCTCAAACGCGACGTATCATTCGTCGAGTGTGTAAGGTTGAATGTCATCTATAATATAAAGCAAAAGATCAGTCACTCATCACGAAATCTCGGGAACTACAAATAAATTGAAACTTCTAGGTTTCAAATTTTCAGTTGTTTTTGGGTAGTAACTTCGTTAGTACAGGTGCTAGGAATCTCAAATTTTACAACGGGGCTTTTTTATAGGACGTAGGTGCTAAGGCGGGATTTTGTAGTAAAGCATATCTTGATTACCATTCGGACGAAGTCGCGGGCAATATAATATATTAGTTAGTTCTGACGCTCCGCGACTATCAAGACTATCAGATATACACCGACCCTAAATGTACACCCCCCCCCCCCCCTCACCCCCGTTGTATTCTTTAATCCGAATCGCCTCGAAGTTATCAACATATTCAATATAATTTACGCAACAGGAAGGCAGCTAGAAAATTATTATTTTATGAAAATTCTATATTTAATTATTGTGTTTTTTTTTATTAAATTTTGCATTAGAACAAAATACTTAAAAATCCGATACAAACGAATTTTTCAAGCATTATTTTGATAATCTGTTTTGTCCAGTATATTTTTTGTTTTTTTTTTTTTTCGGAAATATAATTCAATTAGTAAATGAATTAATTATAATTATTATGTGATTAGCCCGTTAATATTAATCTTAAGGAATAATACTTAATAAATTCACCAGTCCCAGATGCCCGAAATATAGCATTATGAATGCAAATTATCAAATTAAATGTAACCCTTCTTAATTGTATTTTATTATTAACACTACATACAATTTATTTATCTATAAGCATTTTTAGATGTGTATTAAATAGTGATGTTTTATAAGTGCCTCTTCTTTTTTTTTTATATAAACGATATATTTTTAAATCAATATCTTAAATGTATAGACGATACGTTTCAACATTGTTTCTGTGATTTGTTTTAAGATATCTTTACTATATGTGTAATGTGAAATATTATAGCTATTTAAAATTAGGCGAAGCTTTTATTCAGTGTATAATGTAATTTCGTTTTGAATGTTGAATCCTCGAAATGAGACCGTTAGCTCGCTTGCATACGTACACCTTTTGTTCGCCGTAAAAAGACTGCGGTTGACTCATGTGCATAAACATGGTTGTCAGTGTTGTATGTATCACTATATATACATACAAGCACGGTGAATAGGGATGATGACTGGGTAAAAGAAATGCAATTCTATTTAGTCCGTCAGTCAGATAATAGAAAAATATTAGATACGTATTTTTTTTTAACTTTAATTTAACAAGAAATAGCTTAGATAACAGGCATTAAAGTTGAGGAGTGGGGGCTCGCTACGTCACAGTTGAGTAGAAAACGTACTCTAACGTGACGTCATGCGAAATTTCAACTCAATTTAACGCCGTAATTTTATGATTACGAAAAACATAAAAAAATACGTGTTTAATATTTTTTAACACTAACTGACGGACAAACAAACAAAAATTAGTCATCATCCCTATTAGACTGCTAAGACGATACCGTCCCCGTGCGCGAATCAACCGCAGAATTTCACCATAAAAAATAACTGTGCACACGTGTGCACAGCCCATAAAAGATATACTCGGTTTGTCGTAGTGAGATAGTAAATGCTTTTTTGCCGTGAAAACCTATGATTAATAATACACATAGCCCGTTAGTGTTGTATGAGCCACAATAGAAGTTATAAGACTAGGTTGTAGCACTGCGAGTCAACCTTACTTTTTCACGGCGATAAAAACTGTGTACAATGCTAAAAATTTATGGTGCAATTATATTATGGTCAGTGCATATCTAAAATAAAATGTTTCGCCTATTATTTGTCTCAGAACAGGCAAATGTCGAATAAATCGTTTAACTTGCACACTCAATCGATGATCCGTCAGTCCATCGAGCGTACCAACGCATGCTTAAGTTGATAAGCTCGATTCCGTCTAGTGTGCACCGACCTTTGCTTCCAGGCATTTCTCTAGTTTCCGGAAAGATAGAGTAGCGTCCATTTTAATTTGTGATTTCCCTGAACTGAATAGCAGAGTAGTTAACGAGTAATGTTTTTCTATGGCAATTTTTTGGTTGTTTTTTTTCTATGAATGTGTCGGATATACCAGAGATGGAGAAGTTTTAGGGACCAGAGAGTTGTAATGATATAATAGATACTTGTAACGTTATTTTCGTCTAATGTTTAGATATACATATATATATTATTTTTTGTTGTCATCTGGAGATCTAATGAGTTACTAATGTAGTATGCATTACCAATATAAATAGACATACTGTATTTATATAATTGAGTTTGACGCCACCTAACGGTGGTGCGAGAAACGCTTGTGCTTGAATTAAAAAAGAAAGATATATTCCAATTTAATTTATTTGTTTTATTTACATACAGACACTTTGTAGGCACTGTTTATTGTTACTACATTATGATAATCACAAGTTCGCCTTTATCTCCTAATAAATATGTGCCTTAATAATCTTTATTATTAATGAAAGTGGAAAACTAAATACTGGTACATTCGGCTGCAAGACAAGTTGCTACAAAGTGTCAAACTCCAGTTGATTTTGAGCTCTACCCTCAAAACATCCTATGGTTAAAAATTGAGTGGAGAAATTTGACAAATTTGTATGGTGTGACGTATGCTTGACTATACTTATAAGAAAATTACAGCATGAGAAATGAGAGCTCGTCGTCAATTGATCATAAATAGTAAACTGTATCACCAAGACAATAAAGGCTATAATATATGTGAAAGATGAAACCTATTAAGGCTATGCAGGTACAAATAACATGTGGTCTAACAACAAGAACCCATAAAGGTTGCAATAAAATGAACTTAAAAGCTAAGTGAAATATAGGTAAATTAATAGAAACCTATGTATATATGTAGAAAAGCTGTTAGCTTCCGGTTATTTATTTTTAGATGATAAATATAAAAATGAGACTAATTCTGCAAGGCCGATATAATTAATATTTATCAGTTAATGCAAAAAATATATATTTAAAACGACTGTAAAATGTAATGGTTGCAAAAATCATTAGCCTTTTCTGTTGCTATAAATCCTTGTCATTATATAGACTATTACAATATTACTAAAAAACTATCAATATGTACTTTATAAGGGTCGTGACAAATTGATCCATAGTGATTGAAGCTTTTTGAAACAAACCGAGGCTCTGCCACCTATCTTGTTTTGATAATAGCTAAAGTTTATGACGTCATCGCGAGCAACGTTTAGTACTGCATAAAAAGCTTTCTTGCCTTCGCATTTACTTTATTGACTAAATTATCCTGAGGCGAATATATATTCTGCAATCATTAGGTTACAAGTTTGATTATAAAGTACTATCTAGGTTATAGCCATACATTTATTTGAAAGCTAGGTATCGCTTTTATCATGGTTTTGACAGACAGACTCACACCCAGTTGCACAAACGTCCATTAAGGTTAAAAGACTACTTGAGTTGTAATGAATGTTCTAAATTTGTATTGGTAATGTAAATAATACATAAACAATACAATAATACAGATTTAAAAGTATTGGACATAGGACACTATGATAAGCTAATTAAGGTTTGGAACAACAATTTCTCATAGAAATTAAATATTATTAACTACTTTAAAAAGATGTTTAACAAATCAATTTATTTAGAAAAAAAAAAACAAAATATATCTTTCTTCAAAGCCCAGTATCGCATTGTAGAAATATTACCTTACATTATTATAATTATCGTCATTGAAGGTGGTCAAACAGCAACAGGCAACTTTTTAAACTGACAATCGATCAATGTGTCTCGACCCTAATGAGTTGTTTAGAACTCGTATTGCGATACAATGATAATAAGTCTCGCGACCGCGTTGCCCGCGAACTGTCCTCTTTGGTATAACGACATAGTCAACTCCAGTTCAGCTACCTGCGGCCCGCCCAGCGAGCACACCAAGGATATAACGCAAACGTTGTTCGTCGGCCTCATACTGAAAAGAAATGTATATCTTCTCTTAGACAATGATGCTGTGTAAGATGAGTTCAATAGAGACAAACAAATAACTGGAAAATTAAGCAATCACTATGTTTGATCATTATCGGACTTCCTTATGTATGAAATCGAATAAAATAGACCATGATCCACTACGCAGAATAAGTGCGGATTGCAATTTTTTTATTAATTTAGTACTGCTACATAACATATATTAATACGCTTAATTATAACTTGATCTAAGTAATATAAGAAAGAATTGATATAGGTATGTCACAATTAAGGCATACATAGCATTCGCAGTCAAATCATTTGAAAATAATTGAATTTAAATTATATTAAATTATTAATTTTTAAAATACATTAAAGTATTATAAAAACGGTTTACTAAATAAATTTTGATAAGTATGCTGCATGTGCATATGCACGCTCTAGAGTAAAAAAATAGCTAGAGAAGCCCTAGGGCGGTAATTAAAAAATAAACACGTTACTCTTCCAAAAAATTAGCGTATATCTATCTAACCATGATACTGGTAATAGACATCATGCATTCAGCCCAATGATCTCTTCGCTATTCAGCCTTGTCTTCGTATGTGAGTATAATAGTCATCGATTTTAATTAACGAATGGCCAAGCTAAATTTCGTACTTGAAAAAAATCTTTTTCAATTTCAGGACTCTAATCGTGAAAAAAAAATGTGATTCGATTAAAAACTGGACTCTAATCGCATCACTAGTTATTTGTCTTCATTATAGTACATGGATGTAGACTTACTCGAAACACCTCAGGTCTGCCGGCTTGACGCCTGGTTCCGCTTGAACATCTATCATCCTCAGCTCGAAGCTGACCACTGAATTCCGCCACGACGGTCCGTGCATAGTGAACAAGTCCACCTGAACGGCACAAACTATTAATTACAATTTGCCCAGTCAAATGATAAGTTATCCAAAATTGACAAACTTCAGTTCATTTTGACAAGTTTGTATTTAACTTACTGTGTAACACCCAGTTGCGATTACCATGACCAATTTTCAAATTAAGATCATCAGTTGGGTATACTAATATTAGTGAGACAAATCTTGTTAGGTAAAGACCTATACTAGGTTTTCGACTGTACTGAAATGCGTGCGTTATAACTTTGATAACAATGCAACATTAATATGGTATGGTATATAACCTAAACTAAAGATTGAGACGAATAGAAGCTATGGGTCCTCTGTACTAAGACAATGCAACTCCATCGAGTTATTATGAAATCTCTGGTCTAAGATAATACTTATTAAAAAAAAATAGTAATCGATTTTTTTTATTTTATTTTGCTACTATATGTCCTAAAACTCCTCCAATTTGTCAGATACTTACACTGCCTGTGGGCATATAAATGTTAGCAACAAATGTGATGAAGTTGTAGGTGTAAGTAGAGGGCTGTTGGAGACAATTCCAATCAGTCACCGGACACGAGCGCTGGATACGGCTGCAGCGGCTGTAACCGGAATTATGTTTTTGATGCTTAAGAGCAAATTTTACTCTCTTTTGATTTTGTATTTAACATAAAATCATTGTATATTACTGGAAATAAAAATGAAAAAAGTAAGACCGGTAAAAATAATACTCATCTTATAGGTGATTATTTTTTTAAATAATCTGTGATTAAAACAAAACATGAAAATAAGGCATACTAATAGTTGAATTGACCAAAAAATGGCACTGATAAAATTACTTTATGTAAACTCATTCACACACACGGTATAAGGAAGTATTTAAAAATAAAAATATTAGTTCCCGAAATCAAACAAGATGTCGCTACGGTACTTTCTTCATGACAACCCTTCCGTTATTCTTATGTATAAAAAGTAAATTAATTTTCAAAACTTAATAAACAACTCACATTTTATTTGTACTTTTTCGTATTTGTGTTCATATCTAAGTTTCGAACTTTGCAAATTTTAGTTATTTAATATGTAAGTTCAAAGGAACGGAAATGACTATCTTTGGTCATTTCCGTTTGGTATTTTTACAATAACATTTTTTTTGCCAACGCCATAAAGTCCATATTATGTGTCATCGCGTACGGACACTTACTGTTGAGCTTCTAGTCGGTATCCTTGAGGGCACTTGATCCGATGGCAATGGTAGCTGCCGCGGGTGTTCTGGCATACGTGGCCGGGCTCCGGTGATACCGCGCAAGAAGCCTCGCCTGTCTCACACTCGTCGATGTCTACGATATTAAAGTAAGAGTAGGTACATTAACAATGCACTTTAAAAGCATGAAAAATCACAAAATAAAACCAAAAAATTATAGAACATTAACACCATCTATTAGTTAAGAATATATGATCCTTATTATCTGTACCTGTGCGGGCAACCGTTTTCATACCTATAATTTGTAAAATATAAGTGTGCTTTGTTAGTGAGTCGCAGCGGTATGAACCGAACTCGTAATATAAGGATGTAGTGACCTATGCATTTGCATGCGTCGTCAACGTTTCTGTACCCATGCGGGCTGCCGCAGCGGTATTGAGCCGGACACGTTGTAATATAAGCATGTAGTAGTGACCTATGCATGTGCGCGCGTCGTCAGCGAGTCTGTATCCATGCGGGCAGCCGCAGCGGTATGAGCCGGGCTCGTTGATACAGTAGCCGGCGCACGCGCGCCCGCGCACGCGTGATGCGGACCACTCCGCGCACTCGTTTACGTCCACGCAGGTCCTAGAATAAACTCTTAATATTATATCCTATTTAGAGTTTCACGAACATCTTGTGATAGTTAGAAAGGTTCAGAGCGTTATTTTAGATTTGTGATAGTCTCGGTGAAACACTTTCAGTTATTTGATCTGTTTAATTTTATTGATGATTTCGGGACCGATTAGGTATTTCCTCAAGCCACTGTATCCTCAATCCAAAAGAAACTGTAAATGAGCGTGCTAGCTAGACGATCCCGCCAGAAGATGATGCATTAGGGTCACATGCAAATGAGCTGTATTTTATCTAAGAAGTTTAATTTCAATCCTTTTCTCCACATTGTTACTTATTTCCGAATGAATATTAATAAGTATTATTACCTATTGTCAGTATCTAGTACATATCCCCTTTTGCAGTAACAGCGGTACCCTCCCCATGCGTTTGCGCAATTCTGTTGGCAGACTTCTGGCGCTTCTGCACACTCGTCGATGTCGACGCATACTTTGTCATTAGTTGGAGAGCTTCGGAAACCTTCACCGCACTCGCAACGGAACGACCCAACCGTATTCACACACTTTGAATTGTAGGAGCATGGCTGAAATCATGACATCATCATCAGTCTCTTAATGTTCCTGAGACATAGATCCCAAGGTTAGAAATACATTTGGAAAAGTACCAGCAGGCAAACCGCGTAATTCAATCGACTCCGACCTGATTGTCATCTGATTCAATCAATATAACAGTGCAATATTTTTATGTTAACATTATGAAGACTCTCGGGTCTACCAAATAAATACTTAAATAAAATGAGCACCATCTTATTAATGTCTCACTGTCCACTGTTGAGGCAAAAAACACAGGGAAAGGAAGAAACGCAGTGGTTAGCGTTAGATTTATGGTTGCAGAGTTTAAGTCACTTTCCACAATGGGTGATCAAATATTTATTAACTTGAGCTTCTCTATGCTTCAGATGGTATTATGTGACACTAGTCTATACTAGAATTATAAAGAGGCAAAGTTTATAACCTATAAAACTTTCTTTGTTTGTTTGTTGGGGATGGTCTTCGGGAATCCGAAAATGAATGGCAAGTGAAAATTTCACGTCTACGCGTTCACTAGCGAGCGGGTTAAGAATTTGTATAGAGATTTATAGTTTTTAGTATTTACCGCTAAGGCGCTGTACCAGATTCTATACTAAATCTTGACTCGTTTACGATCAACTACGTAGTACGCGGGTGACATTGGTTAAAATTTAATCGGGCGAAGTCTCGTGAACATAGCTAGTATTACTAAATAAGTCCGATTACTTACAGAGCCATATCGGCACTCATCGACGTCCTCGCAGCCGTCTTTGCCGTATAATTTGTGACCAGCGGGACACTGGCATGAGTAACCGCCGAAGAAATTCTCACAACGTTGTTGGGGACCACATTGCGATACGTTTTTGGCGCATTCATCGATATCTAAAAATTTATTGTCGGTGTTATTCTTTGTTTTTGTCGTATTTTAATTACGACCGTTGGATGCTTATTTCGTATTGTTTAGATATCTTTTAGATGCGAGACGTTCACATGTGTTCCTAGGTTATTGATGAGGTCTACAATACATATATTTTTTAGAAAATGTAATTATAGTAGTATTTGAACAGAATTCATTATAAACGGAGTATTAAAACGTAGAGAATTAACAAAAATTCAAAATTTTAAGCTTTTTACTACACAAGTCTACATTTTTACATCCTTTAATGTATGTGAGATAATTGATCAGCCTGATATTGCAATGGAAAATGCGTTCAGTCTGAAACTTCCATAAAGGCATCGTATAGGTGACCAAAAATTTAGGACTACATATATCGAAATCCTCCATTAATAATTATTTGCATTAACTAAACCACAAAGTCTACTTTGCCTATCTATGTTTATATAATCATTAGGAAAACTTTTTGTTTTGATTGTAAAATAACAATAATGAAAAATGAAAAAAGGGACATTAATAGAGCAAAATTTCAGGTAACAATAATATTTTCAAAGTTCTTTGTGCAATCGACTCCCAATGGTTAAGCGCTCACGTAAGTGGATTTGTACAAGTTTAGGATATATACCTGATAGGAAAATGGCACTCAATGGGCATATAGTCCTCAGATGACTTTGGCAAGAAATACCAGTAGACGGGCGGTATTAGACTAATAATTGTAGCGACTCATACGTAGCGACATCTACTTATCAAATCGCGCTAACACCGCCATAATAATCGATAATCAAAAGCCTAACATCGCTAAAACAATTAACAGTAAGACAACCAATATAATTTCAAGATTCAAGATGCCACTGTACCAATACAACAAGGCTAACACTACACTATAAGTTATACATTACAAAACTGCCTGCATCGCTCTTATCAGGAACACTTACCATAGCAATATTTATCCGGCGTTAGCCTGTACCCCCATGGGCAGGAGGTGAGTATAGCTCCAGAGTTGGGCAGCCTGGTGAAGGTGGGTCTCATCATGCGCGGGCCCCGTTGTCCGTACTGCGCCCCCACGGTGATCACGTTTGAGTCGGGGTCAGGCAGGGGCTCATGCGGCTGTGGCGACGGCGACGGCGACGGCGGTGGTCGTGCCGGTTCTGCTAAATAGAAAGTAGCTAAAATTCAAGGTAACATTTATTATTCAAATAACATAATTAAACAAGGCTATAAACAGTAATAGTGAAGAAAAAATAAAATCACTAGAACGGTACTTCTACAAGACGTAGATATAAGAATAAGAAACAAGTGTTCCTACTTTCCGTTATTGTTGCGTCTGTCAAAGTTTTGCTGTCATGGTGCTTTTAATTTAACTGCCAAAACGTGATGTATACTAATAGAATACTACATAGCTGTTCTGCTCATACATGCATATCTGAATTATGTTATTTAGAAGTCCTAATGGGTGATGACTATATTTGACTTTAGTGTGACATGGAGACATGTAATTAACTTAGGAAGCTTAGTAGGCCATAATAACTATAAATTTATTTTAATCACCGTATGTAGGTTTCTCTTTTTCCGCACGACATCTCGCACCGCATTTGCAATAGTAACCGCCTTCCACGTTGTGACATTCCTCATTTTCATTGCAGGTATTTCGTACGGCACATTCATTGATATCTGAAAATTTTCAAAAGTTTGTAGCAGAGTTGATAATAAAAGATAACCATTAGAGGTAGGATAAGCTTACCGACACATCCACCGGCAGCAGAGCTGAAAGTATATCCCATTCCGCACGATGTAGGAGGTATCACAGGTCTTCTAGGTCTCGGAGGTGGTGTATACCAAACTCTTGGTGTTGTTGCTAGAAAAGGGTTACACTTTCGTGTATCATACTGATTTTAAAATAAATATTTTACTTTAGGGGTATTTTCAATAAAGTTTTATGTATTTAACATTGTTTGACGCAATTATATTTTTTTATCTAAAACCTTTAAATATCAATTACTGTATTATAATAATAACAGAAACGGCTCCAACAATTTTCATGGCATTAAGTATGCAGCGGCTTTCAGAGGCGACAAATCGATTTAGTTAAGTTTTTTTTTTATTAAAGTGCTGAGTAAAGTTTAGTCATCCACGTACTAATCTTTTAAGAAAGTAAACTTTGAAGAATCTAATCAAATACGAAATTAAATAAACAACCAGTCTTTTGTGCTTATATAAAACAAAAGTTGAATTACAATAAACAGTTTTATATAACAAAAATATAAAAACTAAAATAAAACTCACTAAGTTGAATTGACTATTAAACTGAGATTATTATCAATTAAAGAAAACTATGTGTACCCAGAGATCTAAGTGTTAGATATTAGAGTGTAAATTAACTTTTATTTATTTAACAAACTTTATTGACCATTGAATTGGTACAAAAGGCGGACTTAATGCTATTAGCATTCTCTACCAGTCAACCTTTGGGATACAGAAATACACGATGGCGGCATAAAGTTAACTAATAAATATACTACTTAAACTACACTACAGAAGAATTTATATACAATTACATAAACATAAATAAATATTATACCTATACATATACATAAATACATATACAAATACATAAATATATATATGAATTGTGATACATATACATATGATGATGATTTTCATAAATGCTCTAAGAGAAAAGTGTGAGCTTTCCGTTTAAAAATGAATTTATTAGGAGATCGTCTGATGGTGTCGGGGAGGCTATTCCACAGTCGTATGGCATGAAGGGTGAAAGAGTCGGCCATAAAGCCCGAATGGAAAAGCGGAGTAGAAAGTGCAAGTGTATTAGCAGAACGCAGTTGTCTGTCATGAGAATCACAAAGGTATTGAAATTTACATTTAAGGTAATTTGGAGAATTAGGGTTAGAAAGCACGGAAAAGAGCATACAGAGCAGTCGTAGCTGTCTGCGCTGACGAATAGGAAGCCATTTTAGTTGAGACCGATAACACGAAACATGATCATACTTGCGAAGGCAGAAAATAAAACGAATTGCATTGTTGACAAGGCGGTCCAACTTATTAAGAAGATCTTCGTTTAAATCAGGGTAACAGACATCAGCATAGTCAATGATAGGAAGAATAAGGGAAGTGACGAGGGTGACTTTAGTTTTGGTAGGAAGGAAATGTCTGAAGCGATTAAGCGAGCGCAAAGAATAAGTAACCACACGACTGACCTCGGCAACCTGTGATGTCCATCTGAGCTCCGAATCAATATGAAGTCCAAGGTTTTTAACAGTAGAAGTGAAGGGTATTACAGAGTTTTCATACACAACAGGTGGGAGCAGACTAGAATCCAGTTTAATAAGCTGTTTGGAGCTTCCCACCATAATTGCTTGACATTTAGTTGGGTTCACGGAAATCCCAAAATTAGTTGACCATGCACTGACATAAGAGAGATCCTCATTCAATCTGGAAATACCTGTTATGATTTCATCGGTCGTTGTTTGCACATATATTTGCAAATCGTCAGCATAGAAGTGATAAGAACAGCCAAGCGTGAAAGAGAGGTGATTAATGAATAAGGAAAAGAGCAGAGGAGAAAGAATCCCCCCCTGTGGGACACCAGCCGTCAGATCGTTCCAGGAAGACAATTCACGACCCTTACGTACCGCCTGCTGACGCCCACGAAGATAAGCTGAGAACCATTCCAATGTCGGCGACGAAAGGTTAAGGGACTTTAGTACGGCCAGCAGAAGGTCATGGTCGACCATATTAAACGCGTTAGAGAAGTCAATAAGAACAATGATGGTGACCAGTTGCTTCTCCATGCCAGTTCTGATGTCCTCGGTAACTTTCAAGAGCGCAGTTGTTGTGCTGTGCCCAACACGAAAACCAGATTGGAAAGGAGATAGGATGGAATTAGAATGTATAAAGAAAGATAATTGCTCATGAGCAGCGGCTTCTAAAATCTTAGACAGAAAAGGAAGGATAGATATAGGCCTAAAGTTATTTAACAAATTTGGAGATGAGGTTTTAGGAAGAGGGATGACATAAGCTTTACGCCAAAGTAGAGGAAAGTGAGCCACTTGGAAAGAGAAATTGACAATATGTGTTATAACTTGAAGGACATTATCTATAATGTTGATAATCATGTCTCTGCTCACATCATCACATCCTATGGCCTTTGACTTGATTGAGAAGATGATTTTCCGTATATCATCGGTTGACATTGGAGAAAAGGAAAAAGAATCAAAATGAGATTGGGCCTTGGAAGTAATTTCATTGATAGTGTTAGATTTTGTGAAAGAGTCCATAGTGGAGATAGAAGAAAAGTGATTATTAAAATCATTTAGAGAAAAGGGGTAAGTCTGAGATTGTGAGGAAGATTTACCCAGATCCAAAGAGCGAAGAAACTTCCAAATATTAGCTGAAGAAGAATTTATGATATTGTCATGGAAATATTGACGTTTAGCTGCTCTTACCATTTGGTTGCATCGATTACGTGCCCTCTTGTAGAGACTCCAATTCTCCTGCGACCTATCGTGCTTGAAAGTACGGAATGCTCGATCCCTCCGTGTCATAGCCATACGGATACCTCTACTGATCCACGGAGCTGGTGACCGCTTCAGTTTTACCGCTTTTAGTGGAGCATGAACATCATATAAGTTCAATATATATTTGTTAAAGAGGGATACTTTCTCATCGAGTAGCGGAGAATCAAACACAGAAGAAAAATCAAGACTACCTGCATCCTCCTTTAACTTGTCAAGGTCAAGTCGTGCGAAACTACGCATCCAGACAGATGTGGGCTTTAGTTTAGGTGGTTTTAACCTGTATGAAATAAAAATAAGGTCATGTTTTGAAAAGCCAGGTGCAGGTAACTGACCATGGTTAATTACATTGTCGGGAATTGTTATAATCAAGTCAAGCCATGTGTCGCGTGAAGAAGGATTATGGTGAGTCGGCTCGGAAGGCAAAATTGATAGATCGACGGACTTTACAACTTCAAATAATTTAGCAGATTGAGAAGTGCAACAAGAAAGATCAGTGTTGAAGTCACCCATGACTATGAGATGCCTGTAATCCGAACACAGCGGCTCCAGAATAGACTCAAGGTTAGAAATGTAATCAACAGTAGGTGGACAGTAAACGACCGCAAGAACAGCCTTAGATCCCCCAACAGAGACCTCGAGAAAGATATACTCGGCAGAAAAAGAGTAAGTTGAAGGTGACGAGATCAAAACTTTGTGAGTTATGTCGCTGCGCAAGTATATAGCAACACCCCCACCACGCCTACCAATGCGATCATTACGGATCAAAGTATACCCTGGCAATGAAACAGACGAAGAGGAAAGACTGGGTTTAAGCCAACTTTCTGAAATTAAAATGGCTTGAATGTTATGCACGTCAAATGTAGTGAGAAAATCTGTATAGTGGGAGGGCATACTCTGAGCATTTATATGGCAAGCATTGAAGCAATAGGGAGAGCATTGAAAAATATTGTGAAGTTGAGTACCCAAAGTCTCTGGTTCAGATTGTGAGATAAAGCTATCACAAGGAGAAATACTGTCATTAAAAGCTGAATGAAAAGAATCATCATCAGACATAATAATTAATAGTTATATGTATAAAATTTAAATCAAAATATAATATATAAATATAAATAAACTACGATCAAATTAGTATTAAATTAATAATATCTGTCCTGCCGGCTGACGAGAGAGAAAAACCCAGGAAAACAAATCACCAGGAAAACAAATTAACAAAATATACCAATCAATTTAAAGGCTTATTCAGTTCACTTCACACATCATTATTATGAATAATTGAGTAGCTTCTTAAGAAGCACAAAATGTTCAAAGAATCTTTGCTATTTGTCTTATTATTGTGCTGGCCAGATAACCAGACACTGAGAAGACCCTTTCGAATACTGTATTGTAAAAGTGTAAAACTTTGCCTTTTAACCCCCGAACTCGCATAAATCGTTTTTATGCTCGAGTGCAATCTCTTTAAACTCGCGAGATCTCGCCCATTTTTAGACCGAGATCAATCTCGCTAAAAATACTTAACAGCGGCTTCGCCCGCGTGGATCCTAGGGAAAGTTTAGTGGAATAAAAAGTATCCTATTATCTCAGTCAGCTATACCCTATCTGTATACCAAATTTCATCAAAATCCGTTCAGTAGTTTCGGCGTAATTGACGGACAAACATCCAAACAAAGAAACTTTCACATTTATAAGATTATAAAATACCACTTTTAATTACTAGTAAGAATTTAAGAGATAATTAAGGAAGGCCTTTTTAGGAAATGTGTGTTTTATGGATAATTTTGGAAAATAAAATCTCTTTTGACTATGTAAATAGGATCAGTAGGAAGGAATGATAGGTTGACACGTATTTTGTATTTTGAACTTACGTATAATTGAACTTCTTTCGGTTGGTCTTTCTGTTGTTGTGCTAGTAGTAGTACTGGTAGTAGTTCTAGGTGTGGTACTGGTTGTAGTTCTAGCGGTAGTACTGGTGGTAGGTGGTGGAGTCCTGTATGTGCTGGGAAACCTGGACGGTGTACACCATCCAGAGGCATCTCTGTAGTAACCTGGCACACACTCACACCTATATCCACCTTCCATATTGACGCACATCTCCAAACCACTACAAACATGTCTATTGGTTTCACACTCATTTATATCTGAAATGAAACAAAAATAATTAAATGCAATTAAACGATTAAATGCAAAATAATCATAAAATTATATTACTTTTCCATCTTACCTACACAATTTCCTTGAGCATCTCGTTCCAAACCATATAAACAATGGAGATTATTGATATCAAAATCTGGCTCCTCTGGCTTATCGCGTCCTACGACGTTCGTCCATGTATTCTTCGGTACATCACTGGTATTTAATCCGTAGCTGCCATCTGGGTTTTTGTCTGTCTCTAATAATTCTGGATATCCAGAGGGTGTGACCGACACTTCCGTTAATGTTTCAAATGTTCTAGGGGATTCCGTAGTCGTAACTGGACTAGGAGTGTAATAAGGCCTCCTCGATGACTCTGTTGGTCTAGTGGGACGGTACTCCGGTCTTCTAGGTCTCTCATCAGGTCTCGGTGGCAATTCTGGAGGATGGGGAACGTAAGAAGGACGAATAACATCCGCCTTTGGTGTCGTCTGCGTCACTTTAGGTGTAGTCGTAAGTTCTGTGGTAGTGGGCGGTAAAGTAGTGTAGATTGCCGGCCTACCAGGTCTGTTAATGTAAGAGGTTCTACGTGTTGTGGACGTTCTTGTCGTGGAAGGATAGGTCGGATAATTACCGTATGGAGGGATCGACGGTGTGACACGTGGAATGGGTTTTGTGGTGGAACTAGATTTTGGAATGGGATCATCAGAGGTAGGAAATTCTTCGCTGTAAAATAAATGAGTATGTTTTTAATTATTAGCGATCAAAAATATTATTATGATGCACTTTTAAATATCAATTTAACACAGATGTAATATGATTGGTAAGTGGGAATCAATTATAATACTTTTAAATATTGAAAGTATTGAAAATTTAGCATGAAAGCGGAGCGCGATTAAGCAAACCATCAATTTCAAAAGGCTCAGTATCATCATCAACCGAATTGTATCGGATAGTGTCTTACGAAGCACGAAGGAGCTCGAGATAATAAATTTATAGGCACCCATCCTATGACCGACCTTTGCGAAAGTTGCTTAACATCTGCATCGTAGATCGACCGCGCTAACTCACTAACTACACCGTCGAGCTTTTCACTTGTTGGTAGTTGGCTCATCGTAGTTTTAAATCGTTCTCAAATTACTACAAGCGCGTTTTTTAATGACGTAATGTAATATTACCAAATTTTATCCTTAATCTAACATTCATCATGTCATGTCCCGGATACGTACTCAGAGTCATAGTAAAAATCATCTATAGGATGCGCAGTAGTACTAGTAGTGGTGGGAGGACGACGTGTACACGTAAATGATCCTAAAACGTTGAGACAGTGAGAGCCAGCACCGCAGTTGTCCAACTTTAAGGCGCATTCATCAATGTCTGAAAGTATTTTAAATATAAAGTAAAACTTAAAATTTGGGGCTTTTTTATTCGGAGGAGAAATCTTTAGATAACATACCAATTAATATCACGCATAGTGGGAATAACAGCGCTAGACTTCCCAAACTCTAGGAATATTCTGTCTAAAAGTTTTACTCGTCACTCAGAAACTTAATGAAGTACGATAAAAAGTTCATGCCTCTTACCAACGCAAGATCCTGACGTGGAGTCCAGCTCGAAGCCATTTTTACATCTGCATTCGTGACCACCATAAGTGTTAATGCAGTATTGAAACTGGTCACACAGGTGATTGCCTTCGCGGCACTCGTCAATGTCTGAATTTAGCGACGTAATAAATTAAAATAAGCACACCACACCAGTATTAGAGTAATAAAGGTAAACTACTCTCAAGAAAGTACCAGGAAAAGATCAATAATACACAAACTGTTTTTTATTCTTCTTAATTTATGTTATCAATTAAGTATGCTCCTTCAGAAACGATACACTTACGCCAACAAATAATGCAATCATTTCAACATTTTTTAAACGCTGTTTCCGGAATTGAGTTCAGTCTTCACCGCGAATTTTCCTTTATGTCTTGAATACAAAGAGTCGGCTGGAGCCATTCTGCTAAATATGTTGGTTGCTCGATGGTATTACTTGAGTTTTTGCTCAAAAACCCCGTTCACAATGATGGAGGTGCGAAGGCGCATTATAGTGATGCAAAATTTTTCTATAAATCAGGCTTTTTTCGTCGAATTTGCTCTCTATAATATTCCTTATTTACCGTTTGACCATCCCGCAAGAATTCGGAGTGTACAACACCGCGATAGTCAAAGAAAACATGTCATTGACTTTTGAACGACTTTGGCGTGGTTTTTCGGTTTTGGTTTAGTTCGACGGCGCCACTCCGAAGCTTGTTGACTAGTTTGCATATTAAACTCATAAACCACGTCTCTTCACCATTTACAATGTATATCATGAATGTTGGGTCGGAATTGACTCGTTCTAGCATGTCTATAGCGAGTCTCGTGCGATTGAGTTTTTGGAGGAAATGCCGGTCTTTTGAGACTAGCAGATCAGCAACATGTTTCATACCCAAATGATTACTTAAAAGGTACGGATCGACTCTTGATATACAGGAAATTCGGCGGTTATCTTTCTCAAAATTGAATAAAGATTTTCAGTCACTTTTGCGATGTTAACTTCATTTACAAATGTTGATGGCCTACCAGAGCGAGGCAAATCTTTCATCATATCTCGACCGCTTTTGAACGCTTTGCACCACTCATAAGCATGAGTTTTTGATAAAGTAGATTCACCGCAGGCCTTCTGTAACATTTTCAGTGACTCCGAACACGAAATTACATTGGTGGCGCAAAATTTAAGACAAACTCTTTGTTTAATATTTTTGTCCATTATGAAATTCGCAATACACACTTGATATGATATAACTAAAAACTGCACTGTTTTTAATATAAATAACAGATGCAACTAAAACTCCGCGCAAAAATGAAGAACAGTTGTGCCAATCTAACAACAACAAAAAAAAACTAAAATTTGACTTGTGAACCATTAGTAAATAATCCATTCCCGATACTTTTTTGACTGAATGTATGTGATGTTATCTCATATTTGCTTTTACATTTTTCCTTTAATATCAGAAGATACATCGGCCAAATCTACAGGTAGATCAAAATAGTTTTTTTTCTGGTCCTTTTAGTTTAAAAAAAAACATTGGTCTTGTAAATCAAAATTAAGAACTATTCTTTAAAAACTTCAAAGAAATAAAATCTTTATATCTATAATCTCCAAAATTATATGTATAGTTTTTTGTTTATAGATGTTTTTCAACTGCATGGCCGTATCTGAGCTCCAAGGCTTGATTCCCAGTAGGGTCAATGTAGACAATGAACTATTCAACATTGCCTCGGATCAAGGTGTTGTGATTCCTTCATTGTCTCGTATTTTCATAATACAAATGCTAAAAGGGAATATTAGGGATCTGAGCAAAGCTTAACATTACCGTATGTACTAATAAAAAAATATTCATATGCTTTCCCCGATCGGAATATTCTAGTTAATTATGTCATCACAAAATTTTCCTGTTACCTATTGTTATTTATTTACCTTCACAAATAGTGCTTCCGGGTTTTAATCTGGTGCCTTCCTGGCAAATTCTTGTTGAACCTAATCTGTAAAACAAAAAAAATTAAGAATAATAAATGACAAAGCAAAGCTGATCATGCAAAACAAGTCATTTAAATTTGAGTCAAACAGAATTTGACGAATATTAAAAAGTAGACGTTACAGTTGTTTCTTATTTTGATTTTTGTTATCGCTATTAGAAAATGTCCGTAAGTTTTGTTATTCCTAAATTGTGTCCTAAACCTACATACAATCACGTAACTACAAAATACATGTATTAGTATCAGTGTATTCGAAAAAATAATAATAGTTACTTTGGTAGTGTGCTGATTTTGGACTTGCAGTTGTAAGCTCCTGGCAAATTGACGCATATTTCAGATCGCTTACACACCTCTGAACTTTCTTCACATTCGTCAATATCTGAAATATATTGATCATTTTTATTGTTAATCACCTCTCGCAATAAAAGTGTTCAGTGGAAAATAAACTAGCGTATTTCTATGAGATATATTCAAAACAAACCAAAAATATGAGAAGAAACAAAACCCAAGTGTTGTTCTTTATTTTCTGATTAAGATCTGTCGAAAATATCAGCTGATGACTGAATAAATGCTAGATTTACCTTCGCATATTCCTGTTCGCGAGTTGACTTTGAAACCTGGAGCACAGCGCTTGGACACATGGTCCTGACAGAAGAAGCCACTGTGAGTGTTGATGCAGTGCTGCGACAAGCGCTGGCAGTCGTCTAGACGCTCTTCACATTCATCAATATCTGAAGAATGAGAGAAATCATGGCATAGCCAGACATACGAATTTATAAAAAACACAGTACAAAAAAATTTCTTATTGCAGGTATAGCTTTCGTTGTTACTGCTTTTCGTGTTTTATTTCATAGAGACAGATATTACTAAATAAAAGTTAGAAATTAGTATTTCTATATGAAAATGTTTGTGTAGACTAGACATATAGTTTTTTATTGAAATACTCATATTGATTGATTAAATCAATTAAATTGATTAAATAAATTTGATTGATTAAATTATAGCTCTCATTTTACTATGTATTTTCCATTATTATATTAACTGTTACTCCTCTTACCAACACATTCGTCATCAGGTCCAGCTCTGAATCCAGGAGGACAGATGTCGTTCTTTGGTGCAGTAGGGGTTGCAGCTGGTGGTTCTGTTGTAATTCCTGGTGCTGCTTCCTCGAAGGGTTTACCTGCCTTCCCGGCGCACTTGTACCCACCAATTGTGTTCTCACACAAGTACTTGGGGCATGGAGGCCGGGGGAGTTGACATTCATTTATGTCTGCAAAAATGTCATACATTTGCCATATTTGGAAACATTTGCCAAATGTCATACATTTGCTAAATGTCATACATTTGCCAAATGTAATGCATTTGGAAAAGAAAACAATAGAAAAACATATAACAATATTTTGATTTTCAAGTTTTACAACAAGCAAAGAAATTGTTTATTTGTGTTTCAAAATTCAGGTAAATTCCAGTGCCATAAGTAGCTAAGTCTTTGTTGGATTTACCTGATGATTTAATATTTGTTCACTAATATCTTTTAATTAACAAATCACTAATAGAACCATGAATGAAATCATATAATACAAAATATCGTCAACCAAATAATCAAAAGCTTTTTTATAACTTGTGATGATTTTCGAGATTTTGAGCAGGAAAAATGGCAAATATTCATTAGACAATCCATACCATCACAGACTTGGTTCTGAACATTCCGTTTGAAGCCAGGTGGACAAGTGAGTCCCACATCACGCTTTTTGATGGGAACACATTTGAATGAACCAGCGGTATTATGGCATACTGTGTCTTCAGCGATACACAGATCGTCGATAGCTTCGGCACATTCATTTATATCTGGAAAGAGTAAACTAAACGTTAAGTCACTTACAAATCACAAATCACGTAAACTTCAATGATTTGTATTGCATGTTTATTTTTTATTAATATGGAAACTAGCTTTATAGATTGCAGTCTTTAATACCCTCCAATCAGCATTGGGCCAGCGTGGAGGGTCATGGCCCATGCTCCTTAACCATCCATAAGAAAGGCCGATGATGATGATGATCTTCCTAGTTAACCGTATTAAATTGATTCGATCAAGTCAATTCTTCATAATTATAGTAACAAAAAAAATTGGAAATTACTATATCTAGCAAATTCTTCTTCAATAGATGCACTCTTTGTTCTTGTGTCTGAAAATAATATCTTCACCCAACCTCTCATCAAGAAACACATACCTTTACATGACTTCTTATCACTTTGCAATCTGTATCCCTCGTGGCATTGGCAATGCACACGACCATCTTCGTCGTTGCATACGTGTTCGCAAGATTTCTTGTTACATTTTTCCTTCTTCTGTGTCGTAGTCTCCACTCTTTTCTCTGTTGTAGTTTCTATCCGTTTTGTCGTTGTTTCTGGTATCGGTTCTGTAGTTTTCTCTGCTTCTTCTGCGGCCCTCTATAGCAATTGTTTTTAAACATATATTTTAAGGTTCAAAGCTACAAAAAAGTGTGTACTAATTATTACTCTTATGTGAAATGATAGTCAAGTTCAATATGGAAAAATGCGTCGTTCTTGAAAGAATCGATTCTTTTCTTAATTCTGTGTTCACTTGCAATGTCAAGGATAAAAATTTGATCAGCAATTACACACAGGCTACATTAACTTTACAGGTTAGTGTGGGTTCGTACTTCCTATTTGATTTATGCTATTGTGTTGCTAATCTTTATTTGTTGGTAAAATGTAATGTAAGTCAAATCTTAAACTTGAATATATACTCGATTGCACACTGTTCGTTGGTCGACCAAATTCATAAGCTATCTCAAATTATATTTTCTTATTATTTACGTAAATTATCAGAATAATTTTAAGATAAGTTTCCCGGATGATTCCTACGTACGCTATTTTACCTGACAACAAGTAGAATATGCTCTTCTCCTGAGTACAGCAGTTGGATCAAAGTAATCGTCTTCGCCATTGTTGCAGCCTTCGAGCCCCTGAGATTCTCCTACCCACCTTCCCAACGAACATTCCTCGCAACATGTCTATTGAAAAAACAAATTTTCAAAGTATCAGTTACTCCTAGACATTTTTAACGTATCCCAACTTTAATAATAATTTCAATAAGAGTTTGTGACTAAAATGCACAAGAACTTTCTAAAGCTTAATATGCATGTTGAAATACTACGAGTATACATCACTCAGTACCTAATGCAGATGTCAGGCGCTAGCGTAGCTATTGGCGGCTTTAAAAAGCTCTTTCACAGTTTTGATACGAGCTCTCCGTCTATTAGAAAATAGTACAAATCCATTCGTTGTTTCAAAAGTGCAAAAATTTTGTAATTTGTTATCACATTCGTTTAACATGTGTGCGTAAGTTAAGCAGCAATCATCTTTAGCTACTTCGCACGTCAAACCATTGCTCATGGCTCATCCTGCTTATTACGATTCCATTCATTGAGAAAACCCAGCAATGAGGACAGAGTATGTTATTTAACATTTTAAAGGAGATTAGAAAATAAAACGATATAATTATTATTTTAATAATGTTCCTGGCTTTGAAAAACGTTGCAAATTCAGAATTTGGATTTTCTATCATATTTCCAATTAATCAAAACCTTATAATATATTACTTTTAGATAAATAGTAATTCATTAGGCCACACGTGTTTTGTACATTGTCTCTGGTGTGTGGTACCTTCATTATTTCAGGTACTCCATAAGAAGATGGCATAATTAAACATAATAATTTGAGTAATATATATATGGGATATTGTCTATTATATTTACATGTATTTAAAACTTAAGAGTTCCAAGCACAAAGCTTAAAGCTATCAAGCGATGTTGTTAGTTTCTCCATTTGACATATATTGCAGAGAAATGACATCATTCTAACAATATGCAAGTATTACCTTTCCAACTTCGGTTTTTGGAACGTCGCATCGCTTATCTGTTGCGTACACCATTCCATCGGAGCATTCATCTGAATGTCTATCAATAAAAAAAGTCAATATTAAAATTCTTTTCACTTACACATTTCATTGGATTTTAGATTTTTAGATATTTCGATATTATTGTACATTCTACAATGTTTAGCTTATGGTGACAGGCACTAAACTGGGCACAAAAAAAAATCAAAGATAAGAACGTAACTTTTTCCTGAAAAAAACTGACTTACTGCTTTCCAAAAATAGTTTTTTAATTTGTTTGTGAATCGGTACTTTAAAAGAATTCCCTACTTATAATATAAATAAGTCTATACTAGTATTATTTATTTGTATTGTATAGACTGAAACTACTAAAAATTTTATCATCTAGGCGAACTTATACGCGGGCGAAGACGCAGGACAGCTACATAGTAATAATTACGTTTTATATATCTTGTAAAAATACTGAAATAGATTTTTTCCACTTGCAAATTAAAGTCTCTATATTTAATAGTCTATAATTTTTTTATATATTATTCAATATTGTGATAATAAATATATACAAATTATTAAAACTACTTATCTAAGCTATGTCTTAAACTATACTATAAAATAATATGCCCAAAGCAATGCCGACAGGTAAAGTGCCCAGAAGGCTGCGAGCGTTTCTTCTTTGAATAGCCAAACTAATTATTTGGGCGAGGTACGAACCAGCCTTGCGACCACCGATAGTCTCAATATAAATAGTTTTAATTAGAAAGAAAACTGATAAAATAATCAATATAAACAACATTAATATATCTTATAAACCTTACTTGTATTGTTGGCAACAGCCAACTGCTATTGCCTTACAAATGTCCTTCTCATCCTCTGTATCAAAATCTTTTGGGACGTCTGCATCATCACAGTCACTTGCAGCGTTCTTGGAATATTGACCACCGTGTCTACAGCACGCCTCATTTAGCTCCCCTTCTGAATGAAGAGCTGAAATAAAAGGCAAGCTCAGTTTAAATCAGTTTTTCAAAGAAGGAAAAATTAATTTGTCTAGAACGCCCATACTCAAAGGCCTTGACTCGCACCAGAGGTCTTATATAGACAAAACAAACAAGACACAACTCGATGGGATTGAGTCGAATTACATTTTCATACTCATGGCAATTTTCGATTTCCATTATCAGGCCCTGGAATTACTAAGTCGGCCCAATGTTAAACTTGTCAATGTCCTATGTCTACCTTCCGGCTCCATCATCAGATCAGCTGCATTTTATATTACAGAATTACATTTTCATAGTATACATGCAAAATTTCAGCTCAATCGGAGACGATCTTCGACGACGAAGTAGATCTTTAATTTTCAAGATTTGATTATTCCAGCGAGGAGCTCTACAGCGCCGTGGTTTGCGCGCTCGGTCTTTCGCAATGACTGGTCATAGGATGAGGTACAAAAAATTTATAAGCTTTTCCGTGTTTCGTTTCCGTCGGTCCCAGCGATATCTGCATTCGTAAAAACTCAGCAATCCGTACTGGGTCATCGCTCATTCTCTCTATTCGATTTCATTCAATTCTATCCAAAGGGAAGGCCGGAGCCCCCTTAGTGGGTGATGCTTACACCAAAGTAAAGCAAAATAAAGGCTTATAAATATAAAATATTTATAAATATCACTGGTTGCCCCGACCATACACCGCAGCTATTGTTCTTATGGGAACTTGGGGGTTAAAAGTTCAAAAACATTCTTGTGTAACAATGTAATGTTGTGTATATATCTTGTTTATACAGTTTCAGGGCAGGAACGCGATGAAGTTATTTTTAAGAGTTTCGCGACTTAAAGTTACTGATTGGAAACCTTTAAAAAAGGATTATATGTCTGTCCGCGGCTTTGCACACGTCACATCACAAATTGTATTAATATCCATATTCAAAAGATCTCAGCGTACAGACAGCGGGAAGCGACTTTGTTATATATGTACTATGTATAAAACAAAACAAACTCTGTCTGTCTGATATATTTTTTTTTATACTTGATCAATTTTGCATTAACATTGCTATACGAGTATTGATATTTATCATAAATGAGAATGCTTGAGAATTTCAATAGTTCCTGGTCCCGAGAGCTAACATGATTGAGGATTTTCTTAAGCACTTATTATTTTGGTTACCAAAGAGCTATTTTCTTCAATTAAATTCTCTTCAGGCAATTCACATGAACAGCTGTAATAAATATTATTACAAATATTGTAAGCTTTCTAATAGTAACGATATTAAATTGTCAAGTAACTAGTCTAACACGAAAAAACCAATAATTCTTGATTTTCTAATTATTAAATGGAATCTTTGAAACTCGTCTTTGTAAAAAACTGTTTTAAATATTTTAGGTTTCATTCTGCAAGTTAAATAGCAATGAATTTGTATTACGTGGCCGTAGTTTTGTCAGACGAACTCTAGTCCCCAAACGTGTGTCCCAGTTTAGATAAAATCCCCTGTGCTACGCCGTCCCTATTTAATTTTAGAATATTTTTCTCTGTTTTCAGACGAGAAACATTGATGGAATAAGTTTACTTTCAGTTTCAGAAAAATAATAGCGACGTGTATACAGGTATGTAGTAAAATTATACATCCTAATAATCCATGCATTGTCTATACTAATATTATAAAGAGGTACGAGTAGGATTGCCGGATAGCGAGACTAAAATATCTAGGCAAATTTAAAAAAGTCGTGATTTTGAGATCACAGGACAAAAAAAAATAAAAAATCCACTTTTTATAAATTAATTTTTAAAATAATAACAAGTACTTTTTTTGTCAAATTATTAGATCACATAATAATAGTATAACATTTAAATAGCAAATATACGAGTACCTGCCTATGATATTTTTTATATTGCCACATGTACTTGGAATTCTATTTTACAGAATCTAACAATTTTTGTCGGGTCATATAGGGACTCTGTGAAGTGTCTGGACAATCCAGACTAATACCGACCGTCTGGTAACTGTAGTAAGAGTGATCGTTTGTTTGATTGCATTGAATAAAAACTCCGAAACTGGTTGCACAATGTTAAAAATTATTTCACCTGCATTACATTGCGCGGGCGAACAGCTAGATATAAATATTCTAACTAACACACCACATCTATTTTATGACTGACTAACTCACCAGATCTATTTTATAAAAAATAATATCGCCAACTCTTTAAAGTCACTTTTAATGTTACTCAATGCAGTTAATAGGTAACATTTTATTGCCTACTGATATTAACTGCTGATTGATTTAGAAATATTTGTTGGCCATATGTTGCTAACCCATGAGCCGTTTTGCTCGATGAAATAATATTTTTTTCTGACCAAATAATAAGATACTTTGAAATCCAGTTCAATTATTCCGATAGGTTTCGTTCGATATTTATGTATTGATAGGTTTCGTTTGCGATTTTGCTTAAATACACCCGATAAAAAATTTATAAAATAAAAAAATGAGTTCAAAAACTAAAACCCGACTACAGCTAAAATTACGCTCTAAAAAGTTTAAAACAAGAAATTTATTTAATAACGATAGCTATATTATAATAAAGGTGATCAGTCGTATGCCAATGATCATAAAACAAAAGAAACTGCTTTAGTTATTATACTGTTTATTTATCCGTTTCTTAGATACATTTTATTTATATTATTGATGTCAGCATTTGACAACCTTTACGCTTAATGTGTTGCTATTATGTTTTTTATATTCACTGAAGTTCGAGTAAGTTTGTAACAGCAAAACAGGAAGCTAAAGAGGAAAATGGGTAAACAATAACTTTCTTCTACCACATAAACTATACCTGTTTGTGGTCTGACCCCAGTCAATGTGAAGCAAGATGATAATATAATCTCCAATTTATAATGTTATGTTTAGCAAAGTATATACAGTCAATAGCACGTTCGGCGTTATAATACTGTCACATTTCCACACTCGTTTTTAAACTTAAAGGCTATAAAAATTGGCGTTACAAACTTATCAGTTCTGTACAAGGAGACTTTGATTCTGTGTTATTCTTGGTTATTCTATCACTTAACTGAAACTGATTACCTGTCAAAAAGAAGCACTTGCATACAGCGGCAGATCATGAATTTGTGGGGCTCTCGGCTAATACTACTAAGGAGTTTATTAATTATTGAAGTAAAACTGTTTTCAAAAGCACCTAACGTAAAAGTACCGTATCGTATTTATTGGAGGTTGAGGACCCTTTGTATTCACGGGTCCCTGATCTTAAGCTCGTCAAGTCAAGGCCTTAGGTACATCCGCCCCTGCTTGCACACTCAGATTGACAGATCAATCAGGGCTTCAGTTACACGGTAGAGCCTAGTAGCAGTGGCAGAAGAGAAAACGTCTAATTAAGACTTAACAAGATTTTGGACGGAAGGTTACTGTGTTTCACCAAAAGTTTCGTCTATTTTTTTTATATGAGTTAAAAGAATGAAATTGTTTTGTAATAAAACGGATTGTGTTTCTAAAGCGTCTTGATGAGAGATCAAATCGAATCAAATCAAAATTATTTATTCAGTGTAGGCTGTTACAAGCATTTATGAAAGTCGAGAGCTACGCCATCGGTTTGTAAATCTACGGCGGGAGACCTTGTACCGAGAAGAATCCGCAAAAATCTCGGCAAGGGCTGCTTTTTTCTCCCTGTTTTATTTCATACAGAACGTCAAGATTGAAAAATGACTTCATTAAAATATGAAGTCGCTTTCCATTACAATATTAGAAAATATAAGAGTAAAACAGTATTTTCGTCAATCGAATCACATGTTTAGTCAAAGAAGCTCATCGATAAAAAATTAAATATACGTGAAAAAATGAGCCAAATTTAACACCAAGAAGTTTTGTCGCTTAAATATTCATTAACAGTATCCTTTACTGAGTAGACAATTCTTAATATGGGTTTTAAACTTAGGCAATGGTAAATTTCCAATTTCCATAGGAATTTTTTTATAGTAGTGTATACGTATGTTTATAGTAGTTTAATACTACCTTGACGTTTGTAGTATTAAAATTGTGTACATGATTATCTTTAATGTAATTGTTAATATTGTTTCTAACATAAAGTATAGGAACTAAGGTAATGTAACATAAAACTTAGGTTATGTTAAATTTATGACTGTTTATTATTAGCCATATCTAGTTCTTGTGTGATATGCTGCAAATTATTCAATCATGTTGTTGATTTGAGCAAAACGAGGCGAGGGCGTCGACGTTTATAATTCTGGTTCATTGTCGGTTCACTTAAATTTTATATTTACGCGAAGAAAATATTGTAAGGGAACTAGAAATACAAGATAGACGGCGCCCGCCGAAATAGTCGAAGTAATGAAATGTCATTTTATTAAGCAGATATTTTGAAACAATATACGCGGCTCAAATATTCTATTCCTATGTCATTTCGAAAATCACTTCATTTATGCCATGAATAGAATATCTGAGTGACATAAGAATCAATCACTATTGTTTTCTATTTTTATACAAAAATAGAATCAATAATTTCGGACACACGAGAATTCGAATTCGGGTTCGAATATTTACAGAAGCGTTCAGCAGACGGACAAGTTTTAAACACTTATTTGTTACAGTTGTTGTTGCACTTATTGTTTAATTTTATAGGTACAGCATTGTATATATGCAAAATTTTGATCAATGAAAAAGAGAAATTGCCCTCTCGCCGCGCCGCTCGCTTGCCGCACGTGTGACATTGACCTGCGTAAATGAACCATAAGGTATACAATTTATTCAAAATCGGTTTCGAGTGTGTTGGATAGAAAATTTCTTAAGGAATATTTTTCTTATTATATTTTTAGCTTGTACAATAATATGTTTAACGATTCTACGTGATTCAACTAGTAAGTACTTTGGTTGACCTTAAAATAATCTCAGAGGATCTATGACACCAAGAATATTGATGTTAATGATGTCAACAAGTTGTATTAATAAACAAGAAGCATACTCATCGAAACTTGGAATAGGTAATGAACTTATTAACATTGTAAGGGCATGTGTTTGCTATGTTGAAGTGAAGTTAAACTATTGAAATTATTGTATTACGGACTTCGATATTACAACTAAAATTCAACAAAAAAAGAAGAGACTGACACTGGGTATCGAATCCTATTGATATTATAAATGCGAAAGTTTGTATGGATCTTTGTTTAATTGTTACTCTGTTACGAAAAAATTACTGAATGGATTTTGATGAAATTTAGTATACGGATAATTCTAAACCTGAATTAACATATAGATTTTGTTGGCGACCAACCTTATTCAGAATACATTTTTAAATTATAGTTTAAAGATTTTGTTTACTCTTGTTTTTATAGATTATTGCCAGTCTCTACTTGTGAGAAACTGTATCTTTAAGTTCGGTCCCCAATAGACTTTTTATCCTATTAAACAGTTCAATCGATTTCCATTTCATCCATTAAAATTTACTGTCAAAACCTTTCGTGTGAATCACGCCGTTGAAGCCACTAGCAGAAAGCAACTACCAAAATAATACGAAACGCATTTATTGTAAGCATATTTCTGAAATTAATAAATGTGTGGGGTTACGTTACTTTCACTTGTCACGCATATTGTGCCTAAATGATAATATTATATTAGTCAAGAGTCATCTGGATTGTCGCGACATTTCGGATGATGTCCAAAATCTAAATGAAAAAAGTAAATTTACCAACAATTTTCATATAAATGATTAGATCAAGGATCACTCTGCATCGACTAAGCAGTTTCGAAATATTTCTGTACGGAAGGTGTATTTTTTCTTCATTAGTATTTTCCGGACTTTTTGGCCCGACTATATCGATCAAGGCATCGGCATGGCAAATAGATTACGGGTTTGATTTCTGCCAGACACAATTTTTGCACACAGAAAGTTTACAATTTATACTAAGTTATCGCATTTTACAATGCTAAAAATTATATTTAAATATAATAATACTTTTAACGCCAATAAATTGCTATATCTACAAAATCTTTCTAAAATGTTATTACTCAAATATTTACATAAGCAAACTTCAATGACAACTCGTATAAAGGGCATAAGAACGTTTCCAGAACCACAAAAGACGCAATTATATCACCATTAGGAGCTAATATCGATTATAATAACACAATAATTCAATCAATCATACCTAAGATTCTGCACATTCATGAATGAGATGATCGCATAATAATTCTAATATGTCATTAATAACGCTTTCATTTCATTAACAGAGGGCCGATTCGTCCTACTAAAAATCGGAATATGTGAAGTCGTTTTATAATTTTGTCAATATCATATCGGCGAAGATAATCTGTAAGTATATCAGAGGTAGTGTCAGGTTAGGACCTCCGTTAAGGCCTCCATTGTAGGTTTTGTAAATTATCGAAAAATTAGAATTATTGGAGTCAAAAATGAGATGAAACATCGTTTTCAGAGAAACTAAGTAAGCGTTCTTCTGGTTAAGACTTGACTATAGGAACGAAAGAAACATGTGTTATTATAGAAAATAGGTAATCATTATTATATTTTGTTTAATAACATGTACAGTTCTTGTTAAAACTGTTTACAAATCAATTCACGGATATGTGTATGATAATCTTCACGACCTCTCACGCTGGTAGTTTATGCACTGTTTTTAATACTCATATTTTGATGTCTGAATATAGACTTGGAGGTAAATATGATAAAAAAAGCCTCACTTATTTCTACTTTACTATACAGTAAAAAAATTGCGTCGACCGCAACGTCACAGCGCTGTCGCACCATAGAGGTTCAATAATAGCTATAATAAATAAATAATACTAAACAACATCACATACATTGTTCAGATTCCAAGGTAAGAGCAACGAAGGCACCACAACATCCGGACACGAGACAATATATATAAAAGTCCTTTTCCTACGTTGACCGGACCGGAAATCGAAATTGTGACTTCACAGCTGGCGACGCCTTGAAATCGGCATGCAAACCACTCCGCTACGGAGGTCGAAAAATCCACCAAATAAAACATTTATGATCTTTTAAAGTGATTGATTTTTTATAGATTTTTTTAATTCGAAATCCAATAAGGAGAATGGGCGGTGAGCCCGTGACCCGGGCCCAGTACGGATTAGTGGGTGTTAATAACAGCACATGTAGATGGTACCAACGGTTTCGAGTTCTTTGTAAAGAGATAATTAATTTTTGGTCACCCATGCTACGACTGGACTTTGCGACAGTTGCTTAACTTCCAAATCTCAGATTGAACGCTAACCGTTACGCTATCGAGTTCCTCAAAAATGTTTAATTTAGATACTTTAATTCAGATATGCTCATCGAATTTGTTTCTGTCCTTCTTTAATTACATGTGAGCACAATATATCCTGATAATCCGTCCTTATCTATTGCATCATAAGTGTTCCACATATTACCTGTCACCTGATACTTTTAGACGCCATGTCGGTGACCGGGTCACGTGACGTCACACCGGATTTATCACCAACACTGATACAATTTATATTCAGTAATTCTACTATTTATTTAGACTGGACAAATAGGAGATTTGTTTCTTTAGGTAATAAATCAATAATAATAAATTTATTTCTTTCAAGTAACGTATGCTAAAAAAACATATTATTTCCCTTAATTAAAAGGTGTTTAAAATAGATTTTGATTAAATTGGGAACTTTATTAATGGTTCCTTAAATTTTAATCAAACACTCACCAAACGTGGTACAAAATCTTTATTATTTGTAGTTGTGTCGTAGGTATGTAAATCAAGAATGTAACTCTTATAATATTTGGATTTTGCACTGCTAATAAATCTTATATGAGATTTTATTCATCCAACAGTCGAAAACGAAAACCGTATTCAAATACGTCGAGTTCATTAGAATTCCTAGGATAGTACAGTAAGATGGTAGAGGGATAGATATACACCACCCTCTTAAGGGGCAGACCAGGAGATTGACCTTTTCATTACACGTCCCCGACTGTCTGTGAATCTCCTCCCTTGGGAGGGTGGCCTAATGCCTGAAGGTCAGGGTGTGGCGCACTCCCTGCTAAGTCCTAGACCCTTTCCCAAAAAGAGAGAGAATTCACGGAGGGCATTTAGTGGGTATGCCATCCGCTTTTTTGCTAGTCTTTAGACGGGTCCGTGCGGATGGGGATTCCCACACACCCTCTGCCACCTTTCAAGCGGCGGGGCCAGTGCATATAGCATCCGCCTACTTTTAAAAATGTGTATAGTTAAATAAAAGTCTAGTAAACAAATCGAATAACTGAGATGGAGATCTTTTATATTCAATCTAGGAAATTATTAATCAATAATACCCAATAATTATCTATATTATTCATGAAGTGGATTACTCAATCAAAATTATGAAAGTAATTTCATTCCAATTTATGTACTTATATACTTATACATAATACTTATACATAAAATGGAATACGGAAAGCAAATAAACATACCATGATAACCGCCGTTTTTATTTCACTAAAACTGCTTATTTCACTCAAAAAGTTTTTACACATGGTAACGACGAAAAAGTTGCTAGCTTACATTAAACTTAGCTAGCCAACTTATTCTAAACTCACATGTAACTACCAATGGCTACAATTTCAAAAATAGAATTTATTAAGTTTAAAATTGAAACATATCAGATAAAAATTAGTAGACATTCCGTTGAAAATTAAAATACTTCAAATCATTGTTTGTTCAATTGGCAAAACTGGTTACTCACCATCACTTAAACAGAAAATCGCACACAACACAAAACAATAAAACTTCATTTTAACACAAACAGTATCTCCAAAACACTATAAACTCAAAAAAATAACACTTAACAGTTATATAGAAACCATTTTTTTATCACTTTAAAATATTTTTTGTCGGTTTTTTGCACCATTTGCTGTCCAGGCGTCTTGCCCGGCACAAGGCTTGTGTAATAATGATCTGCAGGTCAAAACTGATACCCTGATAACACGGCGCATGGGATATTGCACACTAGGTCTACAGTTTAGATATAAAGTATAAATCTACTTGTCTGTCTGTATATAACTAAGTTAAGACGATGTCCTTCTAGAAATGGAATTTCCAATACGCCTCACAAAAGAATGTCGCCTTAGTCATATTGAAATAATGATTTGTTTTGCAAGTTATGTAATCAGTCTCATCTCGCAAATAATTTTACACTTACTCAATTATTAGTAATTTTCAGTAGTGTAGTTATTATACATTTATTTGTCTACACTTTTTCTATCAGATTTCCGCATCAGGAGATATTAGAAAAATATTTTATTTTTAGGGTCTTTGTCCTGCATGGATTTACCTTTGCCTAGAAAAGATAATAATTTACACATCAAAGTAACTCTTACATTAATAATTCAATATTATAATCTATAATGGATTATTTTTTTCTAATGCGATTCTTATGCGATAAAAAGATTTCAACGCGTTTTTCCAAAATCTACATCTTACAGAACTTTAGAAAATATATGCAACTACTTTAAAGGCTATTTTTTTCGTAACAAAATTAATAATATTATTTTGATTTAATTAAATTCAAAATATCTTATTATCTTTTGCTTTTTTATTATAGCGCTCAATCTTATAATAAGGAACTTTCTTTGTTATTCTCGGGATTTTTAAGAATATTAAGAGAGTTATTCTTTTAATAAAGAACACATAATGAAAGGAAGGTTTAACCATTGCTGTCTTTATTACTCTTGCTTTTTTGCAATATTTCCTTAGGTAAGATTTATGAAATGTGGCGTATACCTTGATTAAATACATTGAGAGTTAATGCTCACATTACATAAACATATCATACGTCTGTACTCTTACCTATTTAATGTAATATCGACCGCAATAAGTCTTTCGCTTTCTATATTTCAAAAAAAAAAACTCCATAATTAATTAAGGATTCGGGGCCACCATCATATCAGAATTGACTTGTCTTCTAAGTTTTACATGCATAAAGAGTTCAGATCAATCGAAAAGCGGTTAGTGGATTAAACTTAGTTTACAAGATTAGCCTCACACTAGCAATCTAGTTTATTTACGAAGCAAGCTGTAAAACACTTGTAAAAATCTATAAATAAAATATGTTTTCTTTTTTATTTCTTTCATTTCATTATTCATGCAGGCTCTATATATTCGCCTTTCATTAATATACTCTATCAAAACATTACACAATAATAACACTTAAATAGTTATTTCATTGTTTCGGATCTGTGTGTAGTGATACTTGTTTAGTTTATAGTACTATAGAAATAATACAAGAGCTTTAGCTACTTTACTTGTTTGTTTAACTGTACATTTGTGTGGTTTTATCTAAAATGTATTCATTATAATCGATTTCTTAAATAATAATGGTATATCAACTTATTAAAAATACCATAATGAAGTACCTAATAGTTAACTAGGATTAACCATAAATTGCCACCTTTGGTGTTAACTCCTTGGGGCCAATTCTACTAAATAAATTATGTTTGAATCGAATCGAAAACGGATCGAAACCGAACGAAACTATGGTTTTTCTATTCTAAAAAGTGCCACCATAAATTGCCACCTTTGGTGTTAACTCCTTGGGGCCAATTCTACTAAATAAATTTTGTTTAAATCGATTCGAAAACGGATCGAAACCGAACGAAACTATAGTTTTTAATGGTTTTTCTATTCTAAAAAGTAACATACGATACAATTCCAGTTATATTTTAGCTGGAATTGTATTGTATGTCAGTTAGTAGAATAGAAAAACCATTAAAAACTATAGTTTCATTCGGTTTCGATCCGTTTTCGATTCGATTTAAAAAAAATATATTTAGTAGAATTGACCCCATGGTCTAGTACTCGTAAGTAATAGGTTCAATAACATGAATCTCTAAGAGAGAAAGTGTACTATTGTTTTAGTTATCATCGGTAGTGAAAAATTTTCCTTGTGCCTGATGGTTTATCTGCGCTATTAGTATTGTATCCATTATGTTGGTGAAGAGACATTCTTTACTTTAATTGCTCCAATTATATCAGGCGCATTCTCTAAACTAAAGCAAATAAAATAATGATATAAAGTTAAGTATTTGTTTCAAAAAATATATTAATTCTATAATTAGTTCTATGATAGGATTCAAATCCATCAGTGACCTAAAGTAATTATGTGTGTTTTGATACGTATCGCTGGCCATAGAACTCTGTATCGTTTCCGCGAAGTAGCGCAGATGACCTGGTTTTGCATGTAACTAACGTAAAGGCAAATATTACTTTACTGTGCATAGTCTATACCTGTGGTCTTTACAATGTTGAACTACGCCAAAATTAATATTATTGACATGTGCGATGATGTGTCAAAGTTCACTTTTATGGCCTATTCTTAATATGGCCAAAAGTAGGTCCTTATCTTAAAATGGCCAAGATCATCTGCCCTACTGTCTATCGATGTATAGTCTAGGATGGGATCAGCTTCTTAAAAGAAAATTTCACATTTCGGCTGTGAATCATATAATCATATTTAGAATCTTTATAAATATGATTTGAGTTCTCGTTTTTAATCATATTTCTTTGTATTCGTATTATCACTTGCAATGTGCATATGTTTCTTTAGTTTGTATTAATTCTCTTCTTGGTGAAATCTGTGGCCTGAAAGCATAAAAAACCGGAAAAAAGCTTTTTCGTTTTTCATCACAGACTAACTATTGTATCTATAGTCGAGTAGAAGTGATTATTTGAGTATAAATAATACTGCAAATAATTTAACCATTATACAAGAATTTGAAGTAAGTTGAATAGTGCTTAATATTGTCATTTTTACTAGTACTTCATTAAATTCTCATCTATTGGTGAAAAATATTTTATGAAGTTATTACTTATACTCAAGTAATTACCTTTGAGAATAAGTGTTAGTAAAAGAGGACCGTTTAAGTGAAAGTTGACTGAAATATATGAGACGTTGGAAAAAATGGGTTCTTTGGGCTTATAAATTTGTCAGAACTGCTATTCTACGAGGGTCAAACTGAAAGTTCTTAGAACTGGCCACTTATAAACAATATAATAAAAAAATAATTCTAAAATTTGAAAATATAACTCTTTGCCAATATTACTGAGTATATATTTCATTCATTTGTCATTTGTTTTAAGATTTGGCGGCAAATTGAAAATTGTCTGTGTCACGTCATCATGAATTTAACACGAGAAAATTTTCGTGCAATGATTTTTTATGACTTTCGATGTCATTTAAGTCAACAAGAAAGTTATGATAGACTACGATTGGCCTTTCACGATGAAGCCCCATCTCGTGCGACTGTTTACAACTGGTTTAATGAGTTTAAACGTGGTCGCACTAATCTCACTGATGATTTACGTGAGGGACGGCCTTCTACGGCGACGACTGAAGATAACATCTGTGTTGTGCGGCGTATGATAGAGACTGACAAAAGAGTGACCTATCAACAGATTCGGACAAGCTTAGGCATCGGTATGAGTCAAGTGCACAAAATCCTCCACGAACATTTAGCGGTCAGGAAGCTTTGCGCCCGGTGGATACCTCATAATTTGACTGAGGCTCAAAAACTCCATCGTGTGGATTGGTGTCGTAAAATGATTGAAAGATTTAACGGAGGTGACTCAAATGCTGTGTTCGACATACTAACAGGTGACGAAAGCTGGATTTACTGTTATGATCCTAAAACCAAAAGACAATCTGCTCAGTGGGTGTTTCCTTTCGAGGAGTTGCCAACTAAAGTGAAGAGAGATCGAAGTGCGGGAAAAAAAATGGTGGCCTCGTTCTTTGGAAGGATAGGTCATTTTGCAACAATTGTGTTAGAGGATCAAAAAACAGTTTCTGCAGAATGGTACACTACCAATTGTTTGCCACTTGTCTTGGAAAAAGTTCGAGAGAAACGACCTCGCAGTAGGATCCTCCTTCACCACGACAACGCCTCGTCGCACACCGCCAAGCGAACGATCGACTATTTGGCGACATCAAACGTTGAATTACTGGGTCACCCGCCGTATAGCCCCGACCTCGCGCTTTGTGATTTTTATTTATTTCCAAAAATTAAAGAAAAACTTAAAGGAAAGCGGTTTATGAATGCTGAAGAAGCGGTGGCTGCGTATCGCGATGCCATTGAAGAGACCCCTAAGGACGAGTGGGCAAAGTGCTTTTCCCAGTGGTTCCATCGCATGCAGCGGTGTATTGACGTGAATGGACAATATTTTGAAAAGATATAATAAAACTAATAACTGGCTAATGTAATCAGTTTTTGATTTTCTAAGAACTTTCAGTTTGACCCTCGTATTAATACAGAGTTGTCACAAAGAGTCAAAATGTATAAAACTTACTTCAAAAGGTAATAAAAAATAAAAAAAAAGTATAAAATTTATTTGCACTGGATTCGGCGCTGTATTTAAAAAAAATATCAAAGCTATTCTTTGCTATATACAGAGAATACATATGGGCAAACATTTATATTTATCGAGAAATGCCTAACATAATAAATCTTTATCGTTTCTCGGAACCCAGCAAATAATTTAAACTCACAAGATAAACTAATGCGAATTGATGGAGAATAATTATGTCACATAATTAAGAAAGAACTCTTTTTTCCCTATTTAAGTTAACTTTAGTAATTCCAAATAAAGTAGTTCATTAGATAAAACTATTTATAACCAGTTGGTTATTATTATTTTATTATATTAATTGGTTCTTTTATTAGAGTCAGATCTAGATGAAGTTGTATTCATTATATCTACAATTTTAAAATCACTCTAATTTAATGCTAAAAAGATATTATAG